CTCTCTGCTCACGATCATTAAGGACCTTCATGATGGTGAGCGGGCCCGGGTAAAACTACGTGGCTGGGAGTCAGAGCCATTCCCTGTACACCTTGGGGTGCGACAGGGATGTCCTCTGGCTCCCACATTATTTAACATTTATTTTGACCACGTAGTTCGTGAAGCCTTCAATAGCTGTACTGGGGGAATCTCCATTTGGTACAGATATAATGGGAGGCTGATCGATGCCCGGGTGCGGTCAAGGGATGGCTCCCTATTGCTCAACCACGTTATGTATGCCGATGATTTGGTAATAGCTGCTCATTCAGAGGAGGAGTTGGAGATGCTGCTGCTGAGACTGGAGCGTGCCACTAAGAGATGGGGCCTTACCATCAGCCCCACCAAAACGAAGCACCTGCCTGGGTATTTTGTACCATCGGACACTCCACCCCCACAACTCCCAATCGGTAATGGGGCAGTTGTGGAGAGAGTGGAAGGTTTCCCATACCTGGGCAGTGTGCTTATGACCAGCTCCAGTTTAACAGCAGAGGTCTCACTCCGAATCAGTCGAGCGGCATATCTTTTCATTGGTTGCGTAACGCTGTGTGGAAGCTACCTGGACTGTCGCTCCGCACTAAGCTTCAGGTCTTCTCAGCCACGGTTATTCCCTCCCTTCTCTACGCTTGCAAAACGTGGACCCCCTTAATGGAACATCTTCACCGGTTAGAAACATTGAGGCTAGCCTTCCTACGATCCATCCTGGGTTTAACCAGGCTGGATTGTGTGAGGAGCTCACAAATCCTTAAAAAATGTGGGCAAGGTCCCATCGGCGAGCTCCTCCGGCAGGCAAGGCTGCGTTGGCTGGGTCATGTAGCCCGCATGCCCAATAACCGCATGCCGAAACAGCTTTTGTTCGGCCGGATCGAGGGGGCTAAACGGGCACGGCACGGGCTAGAAAAGAGATGGAGTGATGTGGTACAGTAGAACGTGGAGCTGAGTGGACTTGCCAATGACTGGTACCAGCGGTGTCAAGATCGGCCTCTGCGGAGGAGGCTCGTGAAGGACGCTACTGGGCAGTTGGAGGCAGTCGCCCTCCAACAACAACGGAGGGCGGAGGAGCGACGCTCACAACAACGAGCGGAGCGCCGGGTGGCTAAAGCACAGCAGGTTGGCACAGTAGGCGGCACAGGTGGTGTATCAGCCAGTCATCTCAGTCATCTCAGTCAGTCGACCCGTGGCACTTGGGCCTGCCCCGTGACCTCCTGCCAGCGGGCGTTCGACACTTCACGTGGCCTCAAGGTGCACATGGCCTGGCACAAGCGTCGTGGTGACGTCACCGCCACTTAGTGGCGAATGGCGGTTGTTGTTGTGTTTACGGGAATGCAGCCGTTAAGCTCGCTGTCCAAGGAACTCTGCAACGCGAGTTCATTTCCCGGTTACGAGCGAGAATAGTGGCAAATGTTTGAACCAGTCCTGCAAAGGGCGAGGTCGTTCACATCTCCTAGCCACCGTGGCGACAGCTGAGAGTCTGACTCCACTCTGTCCACGCTCACGGCACCTCAGGGCCACCTCCTGTCTGCCTCTACGCCTCTGTACTGTGACTCTGTTGTGGATTGAGTGACACCCTGCTTCCCACTCACCTACCCACTCACCTACCCACTCACCTACCCACTCATCTACTCACTCACCTACCCACTCACCTACTCACTCACCTACCCACTCACCTACCCACTCACCTACTCACTCACCTACCCACTCACCTACTCACTCACCTACTCACTCACCTACTCACCTACCCACTCACATACTCACTCACCTACTCACTCACCTATCTACTCACCTACCCACTCACCTACTCACTCACCTACCCACTCACCTACTCGCTCACCTACCCACTCACCTACTCACTCAAATACTCACTCACCTACCCACTCACCTACTCATTCACCTACTCACTCACCTACCCACTCACCTACTCACTCACCTACCCACTCACCTACTCACTCACCTACCCACTCACCTACTTACTCACATACTCACTCACCTACCCACTCACCTACTCATTCACCTACTCACCTACCCACTCACCTACTCACTCACCTACCCACTCACCTACTCACTCACCTACCCACTCACCTACTCACTCACCTACCCACTCACCTACTCACTCACCTACCCACTCACCTACCAACTCACCTACCCACTTACCTACTCACTCACCTACTCACTCACCTACCCACTCACCTACTCACTCACCTACCCACTCACCTACTCATGCACCTACTTGCCTGCCTGACTCACCTACCCACTCATTCATCTGTTTCCTCACTCACCTACCCACTTATCTACCCACTCACCTACCGACCTACCCACTCGTTCAACGACTCGGCGAGTCATCCCGCCGGTGATCGCTCGGCTTGCAGTTGTAGCTGCAGGCTAGCCGGCAAACTCACGATCGATAACCGGTGGGCACCCTGCTCTGATTGCACACCCGGGGACCCTTAACAACAATATACCAATGTTACGTTTTTTTTTATTGTAAAGAGGTGGACGGGGTCACGGGGTGGAGGAGGTGTCGTGGAAGAGGTGAACTGGAGCTGCGATCGTCTCTGATCAGTGGCGTAGTCCCTGCAGTGGCGGATGGAGCAGGCACAATGACGTCACAATACAATTGCAACGCATGGCCTTGTGACGTCATTGTAACGGGTGATAATGGGATGCTAATATTATATTATGATACAGTGTCGTATTATGCGATGCATCATTGCATTATAACACGCGTTGCGTCGTTACATAATGTATTATATCACGATATGCAATAATGTCGGTACGTATGATGACGATGCTGCCGCTTATGACCACGCCGCCGCCGATGATGATGATGATAATGATGGTGATAATGATGGTGATAAGGTGAATCGTCGCGTAACGCTTGCTCATCCGCCGTGGCAAATCTTCGAGTCTCTCTCCCCCTCTGTCTCTCTCTCCGTGGACTCACCAGGGGCACCCGCTCCACCCCAAGGCGGGGTTCCCTTCCGTCTGGTTCAGCCACATTCCGACCCGTCTTTGTATCTCTCGTTACCAGTGCCAAGGAAACAGGCACAAGCACATACCACCACCACCCCCCCCCACTATCTCTCGCCCTCTCCATCAGCGGCGCATCACACACATCGAGGTGGGCCGTGGGGGGTTTAAAACCACGCAGGAATGCATCGACTCGCGTAAACTATTCAAGGTACGGAGAGGTGCAGGCGCAGCCCCTGCAAGTGACTTCCTCGAGGCCACTGCTGGCCGGAGGGGTGCACCACCGGAGGGAGCTGTGGAGAGCCCCGCGGGGTGCCGTGGAGTTTGGCCTACTCTTCCCACACTGCGCAGGGCAGAGACGATAGCCACGCTTTACCCCGCCGCACTCGACCTGCCGATCACAGGCGATTCATTTGGCTGGCGAGATGTTGACTACCTCGCCTGGTGTGCCGCAGGTCGTGGGTTCGATCCATTACCCTGACACCTGCTGCTGTATATTTGAAGTTTACGGTGTTTCTCTCTCATCATCATCATCACGGTGGCTAGGAGATGTTGACTACCTCGCCTGGTATACAGGAGGTCGTGGGTTTGATCCCGACCCTGACACCTGTTGTATATTTGAAGTTTACGGTGTTTCTCTCTCATCATCATCATCACGGTGGCTAGGAGATGTTGACTACCTCGCCTGGCATACAGGAGGTCGTGGGTTTGATCCCGACCCTGACGCCTGCTGCTGCTGTATATTTGTAGTTTGCGTATCTCTCTCATCATCATCACGGTGGCTAGGAGATGTTAACTACCTCGCGTGGTATACAGGAGGTCGTGGGTTTGATCCCGACCCTGACGCCTGCTGCTGCTGTATATTTGAACTTTGCGTTTCTCTCTCTCTCTCTCATCATCACCACGGTGGCTAGGAGATGTTGACTACCTCGCCTGATATACAGGAGGTCGTGGGTTCGATCCCGACCCTGACGCCTGCTGCTGCTGCTGTATATTTGAACTTTGCGTATCTCTCTCTCTCTCTCATCATCACCACGGTGGCTAGGAGATGTTAACTACCTCGCCTGATATACAGGAGGTCGTGGGTTTGATCCCGACCCTGACGCCTGCTGCTACTGTTGTATATTTGAACTTTGCGTTTCTCTCTCTCTCTCTCCGTGGCCGCGTGGATTTCTCCTCCGGCTCCTCCGATTGTTTTTTATCCCCTCTCCACATTTAGTAATCGACGTCACGCCTTTCGAGTATTTGTCCGCTATGAATGTCCACGCGATGACGATAACTCCACTCTGCTCAGCTCTTGTTTGCGATAATCCAGGTCGCTTCTGAAAAAGAGCTACGTTGCAGATCAGTGGGGCCTTAACAAAAAAATGTCAAATTAACGTCGCTGCTGCTATTAGCCTCGCTACAAATAAGGAACCTGCGTGGATAATTGCGCCACCATGCCCCATGGCTCCCCGTCCATCCGTGCGTGCGTGATGGGGCAGTGTGCGGAGAGTTCCCGCCGTACCCTTTGAACGCCGTAAATCTTTCTTGACGATGACAATGTTGCCAATGGCGATGGTGATGTCGATGATGACGGTTGTGACGATGACGATGACGGTGATGTTAATGTTGATGGTGATGACGTTGATGTTAATGTTGATGACGATGGTAATGTTGATGATGATGATGACGTTGATGACGATGTTGATGGTGACGATGTTGTAGCCGCTGTGCAAGGCGGCCTACAGGGGCGACGAGCTGCTCGTGTCATGACTGCTGGACCGGTGATGATGATGATGATGTTGATGACGTTGATGACGTTGATGGTGATGTTGATGACGATGTTAATGTTGATGATGATGATGATGTTAATGTTGATGATGATGGTGACGATGTTAATGTTGATGATGATGTTGATGGTGACGATGTTAATGTTGATGATGATGATGATGTTAATGTTGATGATGATGGTGACGATGTTAATGATGATGATGTTGATGATGATGTTGATGTAGCCGCTGTGCGAGGCGGCCTACAAGGGCGACGAGCTGCTCGTGTCATGGCTGCTGGACCGCGACTCCTCGCGGCTCCACGGCCGCGACTCCAACGGCGACTCGGCGCTGCTGGCCGCGTGCCGCGGAGGGCCACCCCTCCATCGCCCGCCTCCTCCTCAAGCGCGGCGGGGACGTCGGAGCCACCACCAAGGTAACGTGCCCGTCGTCCCCGTCGTCACCGTCAACATCGTCAACATCGTCAACATCGTCACCATCTTCAACGTCATCGTCAACGTCGTCGTCAACATCGTCGTCGTCGTCACCGTCGTCATCACCATCATCGTCAACATCGTCACCATCTTCACCATCACCGTCAACATCGTCACCATCTTCAACGTCATCGTCAACGTCGTGGTAAACATCATCGTCGTCATCACCGCCGTCATCACCGTCGTCATCACCGTCGACGACATCATCACCATCATCGTCAACATCGTCACCATCTTCACCATCATCGTCAACATCGTCACCATCTTCAACGTCATCGTCAACATCATCGTCATCATCACCATTGTCAATATCATCGTCATCGCCACCATCGTCAACATCATCATCATCGTCATCACCATCGTTATCATCATCGTCATCATCGTCATCATCATCGTCAACATCGTCAACATCATCGTCAACATCGTCGTCGTCGTCACCGTTGTCATCACCGTCGTCATCACCGTCGTAGACATCATCATCACCATCATCGTCAACATCGTCACCATCTTCAACGTCATCGTCAACATCATCGTCAACATCATCGTTATCATCACCATTGTCAATATCATCGTCATCGCCACCATCGTCAACATCATCGTCATCACCATCGTTATCATCACCATCGTTATCATCACCATCGTCATCACCATCGTCATCACCATCGTCATCATCATTGTCATCATCACCAGCATCTTCATCATCTACATCGATACCAGCATCATCATCACCACCACCACGATCATCAAGATCGTTTACATCATCACCATCATCTACATCGGCACCATCACCACCATCATCACCATCATCACCATCATCATTATCTACATCGACACCATCATCACAATCGTCATCATTAACCTCTACATTGACACCATCATAATCACCTCCATCATCATCATTATCAACCTCTACATTGAGATCATCATCATTATCACCACCACGCTCTTCATCATCTACATCGACACAATCATCACCATCATCACCATCATCATCTCTCTCATTGTGGGGAGCGGTGGTGTAACGGTTAGCACTACGCCGCGCTACGAACCTGGCGACCCGAGTTCGATTCCCGCTCACGGCCAACACCGCGGACGATTATCTGAACCGATCCAGGGCCTCCCCTAGGTCTACTCAGCCTCAACTGAGTAGCCGGTGCGGTGTGTAAACATCGCCACCGGGGAGACAAAGGCGGCCGGGCGTGGCGCAGGCCACCCACCCACCCCTTCGTCCGCCGCTGCTCGCTAGCAGCACTTGCCCCAGCAGTCCGTGGAGGCTACACGGGGGACCTTTGCTGTCTGTGCGTGGTGTAGAGTGGCCGCTCGTGTCTCCACGTGGCGGTGCGGCGGAGATTCTCGTGGCTGGACGCGCTGCTCATCGTGCTGCTCATGCCCGTGCTCATCGGCTACTGGATCATGGTGACGACCCCCCCCCCCCCCTGGGACCCCTACAGGACCCCCGTTGGGACCCCCACGGGGCTCCCATAGCACCCCCATGGAGACCCCCCCCCCCATGGGATTCCCTATGGGACCATCATATAGGACCCCCGTGGGACCCCTGTAGACCCCGTTGGGACCCCCACGGGGCTCCCATAGCACCCCCATGGAGACCCCCCCCCCATGGGATTCCCTACGGGACCATCATATAGGAGGACCCCCGTGGGATCGCAATAGGACCCCCGTGGGACCCCTGTGGACCCCGTTGGCACCCCCACTGGGCTCCTATAGCACCCCCATGGAGATCTCCCCATGGGATTCCCTACGGGACCATCATATCGGACCCCAATGGGATATGTATGGGACGCCTATGGGATCTCTACAGGGCCATTTCGGACCGCTATGGAACTCCCGCGGGACTCTCTATGGGATCCCAATGAAACCCCGGTCAATGGGTGAGCGAGTGGGTGGGTGAGCGAGTGGGGGAGCGGGTGAGCGAGCGGGTGGGTGAGCGGGTGGGGGAGCGGGTGAGCGAGCGGGTGGGGGAACGGGTGAGCGAGCGGGTGGGGGAACGGGTGAGCGAGCCGGTGAGCGCGAGCGGGTGAGCGAGCGGGTGAGCGAGCGGGTGAGCGAGCGGGTGAGCGAGCGGGTGAGCGCTGCGTCTCCGTGGTGTGCAGGTACAGAAGCGCCGCTTCAACGAGGACCTCGTGAAGCTGCTCCTGGAGGCCGGAAGTGACGTCAACGCAGTGGACAAAGTGAGCACTCGCCACTCCCTCGCTCGCCACCCCTCCCTCACTACCCGCACGGTTGGCTACGTACGGTGCGAAAGACGTTCAACGTACCTACTCCTCAGCACTGCTTACTCACCACCATCACTCACCACTCTCACCACCCCTCCCACCTCCCCTCTCCTCCCCCCCCCTCCCCTCCTCCCCCTCCCGCCCCCCGCTAGAGTGGCAACACTGCGTTGCACTACGCCTGCTCGTTGCACAACCACGGAGTGGGGAAACTGCTGCTCATGGCCAACGCCAGCGTCTCCATCCAGAACAAGGTGACACCACCACCATCTTCTTTGGTTCTTTCGGTAAAGTCACGTAGAATGAGAATAAAATAATAAATTGATAAAATAAAATAACACAATAATATTCTCACGACGTTTCGGCCACAACACAAGTGGCCTTCATCAGGTGAAGGGACGAGACTGTCTCGTCCTTCACAGTCTCGCCCCCTTCACCTGATGAAGGCCGCTTGTGTTGTGGCCGAAACGTCGTGAGAATATTAGTGTTATTTTATTACATCGTCGTCACCACCACCACCATCGTCATCATCACCGCCACCACCACCATCATCTCCCACCATCACCACCATCATCTCCCACCATCACCACCACCATCATCTCTGAGCATCACCGCTGCCACCATCACCATCATCACCACCGCGATCATCATCATCAGCAGCAGCAGCAGCAGCAGCATCACCACCACCATCACCAGCATCACCAACATCATCACCACCACCATCACCAGCATCACCAACATCGTCACCACCACTGCCACCATCGTCATCATCACCGCCGCCACCATCATCATCACCACCGCGATCATCATCAGCAGCAGCAGCATCACCACCGCCATCATTAGCATCACCACCACCATCACCAGCATCACCAACATCGTCACCACCACCATCGTCATCATCACCGCCACCATCATCTCCCACCATCACCACCACCATCATCTCTGAGCATCACCGCTGCCACCATCACCATCATCACCACCGCGATCATCATCATCATCAGCAGCAGCAGCAGCATCACCACCGCCATCATTAGCATCATCACCACCACCATCACCATCATCGTCATCACTACCGCCAACATCGTCATCACCACCACCACCACCACTACCGTCACCACCATCACCACGTGACGAAGGCGACGCACGGCCTCAGCCGCTGGACGCGTCCCCACGCCGACAGCTCCGTCACGCCGCTTCTCCGTGCAGGAGGGCCTCACCGCGGTCGACCTGGCGGCCGCTGGCAACTTCAAGAAGCTCCTCCCGCTGCTGCGCCAGCACCAGGAGCGGCAGCGCACCCAGGAGCTGGCGGCGAGCGCCGGCCTGCGCGCCCGGCGCTCCGACTCCACCGCCTCCTCCTCCACCTCCTCCTCCACCTCGTCGCTCCACCGCGACGGCGATGACGGCGACGACGGCGGCGACGAGGAGGGGGTCGAGCGGAGGCGGGGCGAGTGAGGGGTGGAGGAGAGTTGGACGGCGCCAGGGGGGGATAGTCACAGTGGGGGGGGGGGTGGGTGTGCAGGGGGAGGGGGGCACAACGCGCTGGGGGTGATTCGGGTGCAAGGTTGAAATTCTCGCCGCGACATTCGCCGTCGCTAGCCTGGGGCGATGAAACAGTAACAGAAACTTTAAAGATCTCCGCTGATTATGTCTTTAGCAGGTAAGGGTCCAGCTGAGCTGCAGTCGCTCTTTTTGAGAAGCGACCTGGCAATCACAAACGATAGCTCCAAACGAAGTGGGCTCATCATCATCATCATCATCGTGTGGACATATCAACACTCGAAACGCGCGACGTCGATTCTAAATGTGGAGGGGAGAAACCGGGGACCCGGAGGAACATCCACGCGACCACAGGGAGAAAGAGAGAGAGACACAAACTCCAAATATACAGCAGCAGGCGTCAGGGTCGGGATCGAACTCACGACCTCCTGTGTACCAGGCGAGGTAGTTAACATCTCCTAGCCACCGTGGACTGGGTCACGTCACCGAGTAGCCACGGCACGGTACCGTGGACGTGGTGTGCCGGGTGTGGTAATATCCTTGCGGGGTGTTGCAAGGTGGACGTGGCGACTATGAGCAGGGCACGGGGTCGCAGCAAGAGGGAAGGTTGATGGTGGACGTGGCGTGCCGGGTCAGCACAGCCCCCCAGAGAGACCACAGGACACCGGGGGACCGATTGCGTGAAGCCACGACCCCCGGCCGAACGGCGATGATTTGCGGCCTTGGCCACAGCCACCGAGACCCCGAGCAGCTATCCCGCTTGAGACGATAGGACATCATGACACAGTGTCAAATGAGCGGCTTAAAAATGTTTTTTTTAATGATGAATAAATAAATAGACCTTCATCGCCACCTCGGTTGGCGCTGTTAAGCAACGAGAGCGGACTGCGACGGAATCTCCGATCTTGCTGATATTAGCCAATCAAATGAAAGGAGGAGGGGCGGGCGTGTCACATCATAACTCGATCCATCGCTCGATTGGCAATCACTCGGACACAGGCGATTAACCCGCAAAATTGCGATTAACCCGGTGGTATTTTTTTAATGTTTGGTTATTGTGGATGGACTGAGCGGGAATCGATACAATCCCATCTTGCTTAACGATACAACAGGAACCGCATATGGGTCAATCTCTCTGATCGGTGATTTCGTCGGGTGTACGATTTGATCGTGTCACAGCGCCACGTATTTTCCTTGTGCCCGAAGCCTCGTCCACTTCGCTCGTGCCAAAGCAACGGGGGTGGCGGTGCGATCCGCGCGGTACTCGTAGTGGTAAGCGCTACGCTGCGCTGCGAACCTGGCGACCCCGGGTTCGATTCTCGCCCACGATTATCTGAACCGGTCCTTGGTCTCCCCTAGGTCGACTCGGCCTCAAATGAGTATCTGGTGCGATGTCAACTCCGACCACGAGGGAGACGAAGGCGGCCGGGCGTGGTGTTGGCCACCCACCCCCTCGTGTTGCCGTGTCGGCCTTCGTAGGTGCTCGCTAACAGCACTTCCCCCAACAGTCTGTTAAGGCTGCAAGGCGGGGGATCTTTGCCTTTGGATACGGGCCACTCTTTGCGTTAAATTATTGTCTCGTTAAATATATTGTTTTTTCCCTCCCACTTTGAAATAAAAAAGAGACAAATTTCGTGCTCTCACGCCGTGGTTGAAAGGTACAAGATGCAACTCTGATGATCGCACACCGAGGGAGGCTGATGGACAGACGGGCGTCGCGTACATCCTGTACCGCTACGCGGAGACAGCTGCAGGGCATTGGAATTGTAGAATTGTAGCGGACACTCTGCTCACCAACACACGCGGAGACAGGGAAGCAGTTGAAGATCATCAATTCCACCTTCTCCGTCGGCCCTGCAGTTTCCTGCTTGCCAAACTGTCGGCAGAAGGACCTCCTTAGGGGGGGGGGCTTCTATAGTTGTATTTGGCCTACTCTGAAGTTGAAGTTATTTGAAAGGCAGCGATGTGGCTGGACGGACGAGCAGGTGACGCCTCCGTCCGTGCAGGGAGCCCGATGCCAACGCAGAGGTCTGCTGCTGGCCACGACGAGAGGGCATCAGCGGAGAGAGATTTTCGTGCCGCGTCGCTGTTCCCTCGACCCCCTCCACTGAAGGAGCGCAGGCCACAGTGTCACACCGTGTCAACCCGCGCGGTTTACCACGTGTTCTTGAACAGGGAAATTGAGTTTAAAAAAAAAAAATGTCTATTTGTTTGTGTTTCTCCCTTGTAATGGGACTTTGTAGGATGGACGTTGAGATTTATAAGGGCACGGGGTGACCAATAAAGGTCTGAATTGGTCTGTAATGAGGTAGGCACTGATAAGGGGTTGACATGTATGTAGTTGGTTTACTGTGCGGTCCATGTTGTGGGTTTCATGGCCATAATCTCACTGTGGCTTGTCTTTGCTGCATCTCTATGAGTCTATGTGGGTCTCTAAGTATCTGTACGGGTCTCTGTAGCCTTATGAGTATCTACGCATCTCTATGGGTTTACTTCTCGACCTAGAGTGTGGGCTGCGTGGCCCCAATCGCACTGCTGTGATGTGGCTTGTTTATAATGAATCTCTGTATATGGGTATCTGTGTGTCTCTACGGGTCTCTCTGTATCTATATGGGTGTCTATGCATCTCTATGGGTCTCTGAGTCTCTGTGGGTCTCTAAGTATATATGTGGGTCTCTGCGTATCTCTCTGGGTCTCTACGTGTCTCTCTGGGTCTCTACGTGTCTCTATGAGTCTATGTGCGTCTCTACGTATCTCTCTGGGTCTCTACGTATCTCTCTGGGTCTCTACGTGTCTCTATGAGTCTCTGTGGGTCTCTACGTATCTCTGTGGGTCTCCGAGTATCTCTCTGGGTCTCTACGTGTCTCTATGAGTCTCTGTGCGTCTCTACGTATCTCTCTGGGTCTCTACGTGTCTCTATGAGTCTCTGTGGGTCTCCGAGTATCTCTCTGGGTTTCTACGTATCTCTCTGGGTCTCTGTGCGTCTCTACGGGTTTATTGTTCGGCCAATAGTGCGGTCTGCGTGGCCACAATCACACCGCTGTACTGTGGCTGGTAACTTTAATATTACATTAATGGAGCACATCGGCTTGCTGCTGACGTTCTGACGCGGTTGATGGAAGGAGGGGTGGAGGGGGAGGGAGGAGGGGGGAGGAGAGACAACCAGGAGCAGGAGGAATTGTCGCGATGAACCCGATGAACACCAATCTACTTGTTGTGTGGGTGATGTAGATGTAGACCAACAATTACAATTTCACATTCAGGTGGTCAGGCCAGACCACCGCGGCAGGAGCAGCAGCGGAGTGCATCGCTGTGATGTCTCTCCTTCGTATTGGCGGATTGGGGGAATCGCGTCCGTTATGCGACGCACGGTCCGTTCTGGATGAGCACAGTCGCGCACTGCTGGAGAGTTTTATTTGATTTATTTTTCATTTGTGAATCATCAGGTATCCGCATCCGCTGCCATGGTTTGTGGACCATGAGATCACACGCCAAGGGATCTTCTGCGTCGGCGTCGTTCACAACGCCGACGCAGAAGTCGCCGGGTTCGAGTGTCCAGCACCAGCCACTGGTGGACAGCGCCGCCTCGCGGTGACCACGTGGTGAGCGAGTGGGTTAGTGAGCGTGAGTGGGTGGCTGTGTAGATGAAGAAGTCACCTCCTGTGAGTGGCTGGCTGAGGTGCCATCTGTTGAGGAAGTACTGAGGGCGATCCGGAGTCTGAGACCAGGAAAGGCAGCGGGCAGGGATGATCTACCAAGCGAAATGCTGAGGGAAGGTGGCGTTTGTGCACAGACTGCCCTATATGACATCATAACAACGGTCTGGACCACTGGACGGGTTCCGCAGGATTGGAAGGATGCCCTGGTGGTCCCCCTCTTTAAGAAGGGGGACCACACAGACTGTAACAACTACAGGGGCATCTCACTCCTCAGTGTGCCGGGAAAGGTCCTGGCAAGGATTATTCAACATCGCCTTGCCAGGCACGCTGAGGAGAGGCTTGCGGAGCCCCAATGCGGTTTCAGGAAAGGGCGGTCCTGCACAGATGCCATATTTTCTGTCCGTCTGCTACAGCAGAGGTGTAGGGAATTCCAACTAGACCTACATCTCTGCTTTATTGACCTGGTTAAGGCCTATGATACCATCAGTAGGCCTGGGCTCTGGGTCGTTCTTCGTGCTTTTGGAGTACCTGACCCTCTGCTCACGATCATTAAGGACCTTCATGATGGTGAGTGGGCCCGGGTAAAACTACGTGGCCGGGAGTCAGAGCCATTCCCTGTACACCTTGGGGTGCGACAGGGATGTCCTCTGGCTCCCACATTATTTAACATCTATTTTGACCACGTAGTTCGTGAAGCCTTCAATAGCTGTACCGGTGGAATCTCCATATGGTACAGATATAATGGGAGGCTGATCGATGCCCGGGTGCGGTCAAGGGATGGCTCCCTATTGCTGAACCACGTTATGTATGCTGATGATTTGGTAATAGAGGAGTTGAAGACGCTGCTGCTGAGACTGGAGCGTGCCACTAAGAGGTGGGGCCTTACCATCAGCCCCACCAAAACTAAGCACCTGCCTGGGTATTTTGTACCATCGGACACTCCACCCCCACAACTCCCAATCGGTGATGGGGCAGTTGTGGAGTGGAGAGTTTCCCATACCTGGGCTTATGACTGGTTCCAGTTTAACAGCAGAGGTCTCACTCCGAATCAGTCGAGCGGCAATATCTTTTCATCGGTTGCGTAACGCTGTATGGAAGCTACCTGGTCTGTCGCTCCGCACTAAGCTTCAGGTCTTCTCGGCCACGGTCATTCCCTCCCTTCTCTACGCTTGCGAAACGTGGACCCCACTAATGGAACATCTTCGCCGGTTAGAAACATTTAGGCTGGCCTGCCTACGATCCATCCTGGGTTTAACCAGACTGGATTGCGTGAGGAGCTCACAAATCCTTGAAAGATCTGGGCAGGGTCCCATCGGTGAGCTCCTCCGGCGGGCAAGGCTGCGATGGATGGGTCATGTAGCCCGCATGCCCAGCCACCGCATGCCGAAACAGCTTTTGTTTGGCCGGATTGAGGGGGCTAAGCGGGCGCGGCACGGGCTAGAGAAGAGATGGAGTGATGTGGTACAGGAGGACGTGGAGCTGAGTGGACTTGCTGATGACTGGTACCAGCGGTGTCAAGATCGGCCTCTGTGGAGGAGGCTCGTGAAGGATGCTACTGGGCAGTTGGAGGCAGTCGCCCTCCAACAACAACGGAGGGCGGAGGAGCGACGCTCAGAACAACGAGCGGAGCGCCGGGTGGCTAAAGCACAGCAGGTTGGCACAGTAGGGGGCACAGGTGGTGCATCAGCCAGTCATCTCAGTCATCTCAGTCAGTCGACCCGTGGCACCTGGGTCTGCCCCGTGACCTCCTGCCAGCGGCCGTTCGACACTTCACGTGGCCTGAAGGTGCACATAGCCTGGCACAAGCGTCGTGGTGACTTCACCACCACTTATTGGCGAATGGCGGTTTATTGTTGTGTAGATGAATGAACGAGTGGGTTAGGGAGCGTGTGAGTGGGTGGTTGTGTCGTAACCCTCCACCACCCGACACGGCCAATCAGCAAAAAAGTGTCACGTTGACAAAAGACAAATAATTCACTACTTCAGCCCACCGGTGTGTTGAAGAGTTAATCCACATTTACAGTTTGAGTACGACGTTTCGCTGGTAAATACATCCAGCGTCATCGGGCAATTCGCCAGAATGGTAATGGTAAAGCCCTCGCTTGCTCCCGGTTTTATATAGAGCAGCAGGGTGACGTCATCACTTAACTCATATCAGGTGCAGTGATTAGAGGCGAAGGGGGGGGTATTGTAATTATATAATCGATTAGTAATCAGTCATTGGTTATGATTAGTAATGAGTTGTAGATTAGTAATTCTTTAAATCAAAATGTAATGTGTATTATTTGATAATACGCTTCCAGGCCGCACTAAGCCGGTAGCTGTCAGAGCGATTAAAGTTATTCTTGTTCCTCTCAATTTCAATGGATTCTCTAATTAGTCTTTGCCAGTAATAATTAGTTTTACACACCACTGCAACATTGTCAAAATCAATTGAGTGTCCTTATTTTTTATTTAAAGAATTACTAATCTACAACTCATTACTAATCATAACCAATGACTGATTACTAATCGATTATATAATTACAATACCCCCCCCCCTCCGCCTCTAATCACTGCACCTGATATGAGTTAAGTGATGACGTCACCCTGCTGCTCTATATAAAACCGGGAGCAAGCGAGGGCTTTACCATTCTGGCGAATTGCCCGATGATGCTGGATGTATTTACCAGCGAAACGTCGTACTCAAACTGTAAATGTGGATTAACTCTTCAACACACCGGTGGGCTGAAGTAGTGAATTATTTGTCTTTTGTCAACGTGACACTTTTTTTGCTGATTGGCCGTGTCGGGTGCTGGAGGGTTACGACACATTTATAAATAAACGCGATCTAACCCAAAAACCTTTATTATGAATAATATTGGTCGCGAAAGCCTACGTGTTAAACTGGGTGGTTGTGTAAGTGAATTAACGAGTGGGTTAGTGAGCGTATGATTGGGTGGTTGTGTAAGTGAAATAACGAGTGGGTTAGTGAGCGTGTGAGTGGGTGGCTGTGTAAGTAAATTAACGAGTGGGTTAGTGAGCGAGTGAGTGGGTGGTTGTGTAAGTGAATTAATGAGTGGGTTAGTGAGCGTGTGAGTGGGTGGTTGTGTAAGTGAATTAATGAGTGGGTTAGTGAGCCAGTGAGTGGGTGGTTGTGTAAGTGAATGAACGAGTGGGTTAGTGAGCGAGTGGGTGGTTGTGTAAGTGAATGAACGAGTGTGTTAGTGAGCGTGTGAGTGGGTGGTTGTGTAAGTGAATGAACGAGTGGGTTAGTGAGCGTGTGAGTGGGTGGTTGTGTAAGTGAATGAACGAGTGGGTTAGTGAGCGTGTTAGTGGGTGGGTGGTTAGGTTAATGAGTGACTGAGTGAGCATGTGAGTGGGTCATTAGGTTAATGAACGAGCGAGTGAGAGAGTGGGTGAGTGGGTGGTTAGGTTAATGAGTGAGCATGTTGGTGTGTGAGAGCGTGAGTTTGTGCGTGTGTATGGGCGGGTGAGTGGGTGATTTGATGGGGGATCGTTCGGTCTTTGGGTCTCGAATGGGGAGATGTTTAAACCCCAAACTGGTTGGCCTGCAACAGAGCCAGCCAGCCTCATGTTTATTCAATGTATTGCTACTGTACTGACTAATGCGTCCCATAGTTGTACTATTACGACAACTCCACATACAAACTAACAATTACAAAGAACCAGCGGTGGCCGTGAACGGGAATCGAACTCGGCTCGCCTGGTTCGTAGCGCAGCCGCGGCGCTAACCGCTGCGCCACCGCTCCCCAAAGAAGAAGATCCCCCGTATAGCCTGCAACAGACTGCAGGGGCAAGTGCTGTTAGCGAGTCGAATCTATGAAGGCTACCGGCACTGTCGCACACGAGGGGGTGTGTGGCCAAACACCAACCCCGGCCGCCTTTGTCTCCCCAAGTGGCGATGTTTACTACACACCGCACGAGGTACTCATTTGAGGCCGAGTCGACCTAGGGGGGGCGGAGGCCCAGGACCGGCTCAGACAATCGCCGCCGCTGTTGGCCGTGAGCGGGAATCGAACTCGGGTCGCTTCGGGGCTCGCAGCCGCGGCGCTAACCGCAGCGCCACCGCTCCCCGCACTCAGCCAGCGACGGTCGCCTTGGTGACAGCCCTGCCTCGCGTCACTTCCCGAGCGCGTCGTGCAAACCCGCAGCCATATTGGTCAGGGGGGGGGAGCGCGTGAAGCGCCGCCTCGCCCCCCGCTCGTCGCCGCTCGGTGACGTCGACGCGCACCCCCCCCCCGCCCGGCCCCTCCCCCAGTCGATTCACAACCGCGGCCGCCTTTCCCCTACCCAACATGCCCGCTTACCCAACGTGGCCACCTACCCAACATGGCCACCTACACAATATTGTCGCCTACCCAACATGGCCGCCCTTCCCCTACCCAACATGGCCGCCGGACGAACTCTCCGACCTCCGCTGCCCTCCAGCGGCAGCAGCGGCGAGGGTCCCGGCTCGCCGGAAGCCACGCGGAGCGTCTCCCGCGAGCGAGGCGGCCGAGTCAGCGGAGACACGGGAGCGCCCTGTCCGCCTTTGTATCTCTCTCCCTGACAGAGCTCCCCCCCCCTTTATAGCAGAGATACCCCCTCGTACCTGGACCCGTGTCTCCACCCTCGAGGCCGTCCTCCACCTGCCCCCCTCTCTCCCCAACACCCTTGGTGCTCGCCCCCCACCACCACCCCCAAAATGCTCCGATCCCTCACCCGTCCGGGCTCAGCCCTGGCCAGCCGCCCATCATCCTGTCTCTCTCCCAGCGCCTCTCCTCCTCCTCCTCTCCCCCTCACCCGTCACCCCGCGGTGTCCGCTCGCCTCTTGTCGGCGTCGCCCGCCTCTCGCGGCCGCCGCGCCGAAATCACCCGGCGCTGGCTCCCTCCGGCGCCCGAAATCCCCGGCGTGGAGCGGGTCTCGTACCGCGACCGCGGCCACTTCGTGCCGGGCCTCGCTCACCCGCCCAGGGAGAGCTGGGACCGGGGCTGGCTCGCCCCTTACCAAGGGAGGAGGCTCCCAACGTCGGACGAGGGGGAGCAGGCGTTCGTGTTCCACCAGAGGACGCAGGCGGTGGAGGGTGAGTTAACCACTTGGTGTGTAGCGGTGGTGTAGAGTATAGTGTGTAGTGGTGGTGTAGTGTATAGTGTGTAGTGTAAAGTGGTGTATAGTGGTGTGTAGTGTATAGTGGTGTGTAGTGTAAAGTGGTGTATAGTGGTGTGTAGTGTATAGAGTGGTGTGTAGTGTATAGAGTGGTGTGTAGTGTATAGAGTGGTGTGTAGTGTATAGAGTGGTGTGTAGTGTATAGAGTGGTGTGTAGTGTATAGAGTGGTGTGTAGTGTATAGAGTGGTGTGTAGTGTATAGAGTGGTGTGTAGTGTATAGAGTGGTGTGTAGTGTATAGAGTGGTGTGTAGTGTATAGAGTGGTGTGTAGTGTATAGAGTGGTGTGTAGTGTATAGAGTGGTGTGTAGTGTATAGAGTGGTGTGTAGTGTATAGAGTGGTGTGTAGTGTATAGAGTGGTGTGTAGTGTATAGTGGTGTGTAGTGTATAGTGGTGTGTAGTGGTTGTGTAGTTGTATAGTGGTACAGTGGTGGTGTAGTTGTACAGTGGTGGTGTAGTTGTACAGTGGTGATGTAGTTGTACAGTGGTGGTGTAGTTGTACAGTGGTGGTGTAGTTGTACAGTGGTGTGTGGTGTAAATTGTACAGTGCTTGAGCGTGTCACGTCGCACATTTGTATTCGTTGTCACGAAGTGAAGACAACATAGTGACTTGGCCGACTTGCCAGCGGGTCAAGTGGGCCAATGTGAGCCACGGATCCTCACCGAGCGAGGAGCAGCAGCTGATCATTGCACGTAGAGGGATATCTGTACAGGGTGCTTCAAAAAAATGAGATTTTGCAACAATTCCACGAGAAGTGTGCCTCTGCAGAGCACCTGGAGAAGACTCCAGGCAATGTGTTGACAATGATGGCGAACGAGCGGGGACTCGGCTATCAACATTACATTTGTTATCACGTTGCAGTGTCTTATCCGTTCTTTTCTCATTCAAAACGATAGTCCCGTATGAGTGTTAAAAAAAGCCACCCCCTGTACATTGTACGCCTTGTATATTGCAAGCACCGATCAGAACCCGTCGGCATACGACGCCCCGTGACTTCACGTCAGTTAAAGCCATGGCACGTGAAGGTAGGGGGCCCTGTCCCCGTGAGTGATCCACCACCACCACCTCCTCCTCCTGCCGTCGGTGGGAGCTCGCAGAGTTCGACTGCTGCTACTTCGAGCCTTCATTGCGTCTTAGTTGCCGCTTGTCGCATCGCCAGCGCAAGTTTAAAAAAAAAAAACAACATTGTGCGTTGTCGTAAAACCCTCCGGAGTCCCATCCGACACAGACAATTTGTTAAGTTGCCACGTGATGAGCAAACGCTGCGAGATGTTATCTCCTGCCTCCATATGTGCGATCATCATGCTGCTGGCCACACCATCCACCCCGTGCGTCGTGCCGGACTTCATACGCGATGCTCGCTAACAGCACTTGCCCCAGAAGTCTCTTTAAGGCCACATGCGGGGGTGGGTGGGGGGTGGCGCTCCTTTGTCTTTGTGTTGCAGGCGAGCGTCAGGCGCTGTGGCTCACCAAGTCAGTGTTGAGGCCGGGCCTGCCCCCGTCCCTCCAGGCCCTGGTCCCGGTCGCCACGGCCGAGGCCGAAGCCGGGGACCTCTCGGCCCGGGTCCTGCGGGCCGTGGAGCACGCTCGCATGTGGGACCTCGGGGAAACGCGGCCGCCTCGCCACCGCTTTTGGTCAGTGTGCCAACCCCGGTGTTGTGTTCAGCAGCGCGATGTTCAGGGCCTCGATGTTCAGGAGCTACAGTGAGGGGAAAAAATGTAATTTGATCCCCTGCTGATTGTGTACGTTTGCCCACTGACAAAGAAATGATCAGTCTATAATTTTAATGGTATTATGAGACCTCCTTTGCCAGAAACAAGATATAGGAATAGGTTTTACCCTTTTAACTGGCACAAAAACTGACACCTTTATTCAAGGCATCATGTTTGCAATGACCACAACACAAGCAGTCAAAATGCAAACAAAAAAGACAACTCTGATAATAATATGCACTATTATATGCACTATTATCAGAGTTGTCTTTTTTGTTTGCATTTTGACTGCTTGTGTTGTGGTCATTGCAAACATGATGCCTTGAATAAAGGTGTCAGTTTTTGTGCCAGTTAAAAGGGTAAAACCTATTCCTAAATTTTAATGGTAGTTTTATTTGTACAGTGAGAGACAGAATAACAACAAAAATCCAGAAAAAGGCATGTCAAAAATGTTATAAATTGATTTGCATTTTAATGAGGGAAATAAGTATTTGACCCCTCTGCAAAACATGACTTAGTACTTGGTGGCAAAACCCTTGTTGGTAATCACGGAGGTCAGACGTTTCTTGTAGTTGGCCACCAGGTTTGCACACATCTCAGGAGGGATTTTGTCCCACTCCTCTTTGCAGATCTTCTCCAAGTCATTAAGGTTTCGAGGCTGACGTTTGGCAACTCGAACCTTCAGCTCCCTCCACAGATTTTCTATGGGATTAAGGTCTGGAGACTGGCTAGGCCACTCCAGGACCTTAATGTGCTTCTTCTTGAGCCACTCCTTTGTTGCCTTGGCCGTGTTTTTGGTCATTGTCATGCTGAAATACCCATCCACGACCCATTTTCAATGCCCTGGCTGAGGGAAGGAAGTTCTCACCCAAGATTTGACGGTACATGGCCCCGTCCATCGTACCTTTGATGCGGTGAAGTTGTCCTGTCCCCTTAGCAGAAAAACACCCTCAAAGCATAATGTTTCCACCTCCATGTTTGACGGTGGGGATGGTGTTCTTAGGGTCATAGGCAGCATTCCTCCTCCAAACACGGCGAGTTGAGTTGATGCCAAAGAGCTCCATTCTGGTCTCATCTGACTACAACACTTTCACCCAGTTGTCCTCTGAATCATTCAGATGTTCATTGGCAAACTTCAGACGGGCATGTATATGTGCTTTCTTGAGCAGGGGGACCTTGCGGCCGCTGCAGCATTTCAGTCCTTCACGGCGTAGTGTGTTACCAATTGTTTTCTTGGTGACTATGGTCCCAGCTGCCTTGAGATCATTGACAAGATCCTCCCGTGTAGTTCTGGGCTGATTCCTCACCGTTCTCATGATCATTGCAACTCCACGAGGCGAGATCTTGCATGGAGCCCCAGGCCAAGGGAGATTGACAGTTCTTTAGTGTTTCTTCCATTTGCGAATAATCGCACCAACTGTTGGCACCTTCTCACCAAGCTGCTTGGCAATGGTCTTGTAGCCCATTCCAGCTTTGTGTAGGTCTACAATCTTGTCCCTGATATCCTTGGAGAGCTCTTTGGTCTTGGCCATGGTGGAGAGTTTGGAATCTGATTGATTGCTTCTGTGGACAGGTGCCTTTTATACAGGTAACAAGCTGAGATTAGGAGCACTCCCTTTAAGAGTTTGCTCCTAATCTCAGCTCGTTACCTGTATAAAAGACATCTGGGAGCCAGAAATCTTTCTGATTGAGAGGGGGTCAAATACTTATTTCCCTCATTAAAATGCAAGTCAATTTATAACATTTTTGACATGCGTTTTTTCTGGATTTTGTTGTTGTTATTCTGTCTCTCACTGTTCAAATAAACCTACCATTAAAATTATAGACTGATCATTTCTTTGTCAGTGGGCAAACGTACAAAATCAGCAGGGGATCAAATACTTTTTTCCCTCACTGTAAGACGTTCAAGAAATAGACGTTCAGGAGCTCGATGTTCAGCAGCTCGATGTTCAGCAGCTCGATATTCAGGAGCTAGACACTTAGTAACTCGATGTTCAGGTGATTCATGTTCATTAAATATATGTTCAGCAGCTCGATGTTCAGTAACAAGACGTTCGGTAGCAAGACGTTCAAGAGATTAATGTTCAGGGCCTCGATGTTCAGGAGCTCGACTCCATTGTGGAGGTCTACTTCAGCGGAGAGAGTTCGTGTCGTGTCGCTGTATCTCCTCCTCCGTTGAAGTTGTGTAGACCACAGGGGTTGACTGTAGACTAACACTGTGGACCAACCCATAGACTAACACTGTGCTGTGTGTGTTGTGCATGAGTGGTGCGGTGTGTAAACATCACCGCTTGGAAGACAAAGGCGGCCGGGCGTGGTGCCTGCAACCCATCCCCTCGTGTGCCATGCCGGCCTTCATAGGTGCTCGCTAACAGCACTTGCCCCAACAGTCTGTTGAGGCTACACGGGGTATCTTTGTCTTTGGCGTGGCGCAGCGAGGTGTTGTGGCGAGACCTCATGACCGTGTGCCACTCCCTGGCTCCACGCTACCCGGGGATCCTGGAGCGGAGTCTGGTGGAGGGAGCCAAGATCGGCGTGTCCTGGCAGAGGGGTGCGCACACTCACACACACACACTCGCACGTACATACACGCACTCACACGTACACACACTCACACACACGTACACACACTGACTCACACTTACTCACACGTACAACAACAACCGCCATTCGCCACTAAGTGGCGGTGACGTCACCACGACGCTTGTGCCAGGCTATGTGCACGCTGAGGCCACGTGAAGTGTCGAACGCCCGCTGGCAGGAGGTCACGGGGCAGACCCAGGTGCCACGGGTCGACTGACTGAGATGACTGCCTGATGCACCACCTGTGCCCCCTACTGTGCCAACACACGTACACACACGTACACACACTCACATGTACACACACTGACTCACACGTACACACACACACTCACATGTACACTCACACGTACACACACACACTCACACATACACTCACACGTACACACACTGACTCACACGTACACACACGTACATACACACACTCACACGTACATACACACACTCACACGTACATACACACTCACACGTACATATGCTCACACGTACACACACTGACTCACACGCACACACTCTCACATACACACACACTCTCACGTACAACAACTGCCATTCGTCACTAAGTGGCGGTGACGTCGCCACGACGCTTGTGCCAGGCTATGTGCACCTTGAGGCCACGTGAAGTGTCGAACGCCCGCTGGCAGGAGGTCACGGGGCAGACCCAAGTGCCATGGGTCGACTAAGATGACTGAGATGACTGGCTGATGCACCACCTGTGCCCCCTACTGTGCCAACCTGCTGTGCCAACCTGCTGTGCTTTAGCCATACGGCACTCCGCTCGTTGTGAGCGTCGCTCCTCCGCCCTCCGTTGTTGTTGGAGGGCAACTGCCTCCAACTGCCCAGTAGCGTCCTTCACGAGCCTCCTCCACAGAGGCCGATCTTGACACCGCTGGTACCTGTCATCGGCAAGTCCACTCAGCTCCACGTCCTCCTGTACCACATCACTCCATCTCTTCTCTAGCCCGTGCCGCGCCCGTTTAGCCCCCTCAATCCGGCCGAACAAAAGCTGTTTCGGCATGCGGTGGCTGGGCATGCATGCTACATGACCCAGCCAGCACAGCCTTGCCTGCCGGAGGAGCTCACCGATGGGACCTTGCCCAGATCTTTCAAAGATTTGTGAGCTCCTCACACAATCCAGCCTGGTTAAACCCAGGATGGCTCGTAGGCAGGCTAGCCTAAATGTTTCTAACCAGCAAAGATGTTCCATTAGGGGGATCCATGTTTCGCAAGCGTAGAGAAGGGAGGGAATAATCGTGGCCGAGAAGACCTGAAGCTTAGTGCGGAGCGACAGACCAGGTAGCTTCCACACAGCGTTACGCAACCGATGAAAAGATATTGCCGCTCGACTGATTCGGAGTGAGACCTCTGCTGTTAAACTGGAGCCAGTCATAAGCACACTGCCGGGGTATGGGAAACTCTCTACTCTCTCCACAACTGCCCCATCACCGATTGGGAGTTGTGGGGGTGGAGTGTCCGATGGTACAAAATACCCAGGCAGGTGCTTCGTTTTGGTGGGGCTGATGGTAAGGCCCCACCTCTTAGTGTCACGCTCCAGTTTCAGCAGCAGCGCCTCCAACTCCTCTGAGTGAGCTGCAATTACCAGGTCGTCGGCATACATAACGTGGTTGAGCAATAGGGAGCCACCCCTTGACCGCACCCGGGCATCGATCAGCCTCCCATTATATCTGTACCATATGGAGATTCCCCCGGTACAGCTACTTGAAGGCTTCACGAACTACGTGGTCGAAATAGATGTTAAATAATGTGGGAGCCAGAGGACATCCCTGTCGCACCCCAAGGTGTACAGGGAATGGCTCAGACTCCCTGTCACGTACACTCAGACTCGTATTTTGTTGATGTTAAGGTCGTGTTGAAGACGTCTCTTGAGGTATTGACGATGTTGACGATGTTGCCGACGTTGTTGTTGACGTTGTTGTTAACGTTGTTGTTGACGTTGTTGTTGACGTTGTTGTTGACGTTGCCTGTGCCGCGTGCGCAGGGCCTGAACGCGTCCACGCGCGGGGCCCCCACGGCGCGGTGCTAGCAGGCCGGGCGCCGCTGGGCCGCATCGCGTCTCCGGAGGAGACGGAGTCGGCGAGCGCCGAGCCGCTGCCCGACTTCTCCCCCATCTCCCCGCTCATCGACCTGCAGCGCGTCCGCGTCACCCACACGGCCACCACCACGGGTAGCCGCTCACTCACCCAGTCGCTCGCTCACTCACCCAGTCGCTCACTCACCCAGTCGCTCGCCCGCTCGCCCACCAACATGGGCAGCCGCTCACCCGCACAGATAGCCGCTCACTAACCAGTCACTTACCAGTCACTCACCCGCTTGCTCTCTCGCTAGAACGGACAGCCACTCACCCGCCTGCTCGCTCACCCGCTCGCCCGATGCTCGCTCGTCATTACGGGGAGCCAGCCACTCGCCCCCGCCGCTCACCCGGGTGTGCGTGTGTGTACCCGCCGTGTGTGTGTGTACCCGCCGTGTGTGTGTACCCCGTGTGTGTGCGTGTACCCGCTGTGTATGCGCGTACCCCCCCGTGTAGGGATACGAGAGGGGTTCCCGTATCCCCACGCTCACACGCTATTCCTCCTCGAGGGACTGGATGAATGCTGCCGTCTCTCCGCAACGCAGCTCCGCGCCAAGATGCTCGTCTTCAGCTTCGCGCACGCGCTGGCCCAGGCACGCACGCTCTACGGGGTACGTACGCGTGTGTGTGTACACGTGTGTGTGTACGCGTGTGTGTGTACACGTGTGTGTGTACGCGTGTGTGTGTACGCGTGTGTGTGTGTACGTGTGTGTGTACGCGTGTGTGTGTACGCGTGTGTGTGTACACGTGTGTGTGTACGCGTGTGTGTGTACGCGTGTGTGTGTGTACGTGTGTGTGTACGCGTGTGTGTGTACGCGTGTGTGTGTACGCGTGTGTGTGTACGCGTGTGTGTGTGTGTGTGTACGTGTGTGTGTGTGTGTACGCGTGTGTGTGTACGCGTGTGTGTGTACGCGTGTGTGTGTGGGGAGCGATAGTGTAGTTAGCGCGCTGCGCTATGAACCCGGCGATCTGGTTTGAATTCCTGCTCATGCCAACACCAGTGACGATTATCTGAACCGGTCCTGAGCCTCCCCTAGGTCGACTCAGCCCCAAATTAGTGCCTGGTGTGGTGTGTAAACATCGCCACTGGGGAGGGCGTGGTGCTGGCCATCCACCCCCTCGTGTACCGTTCCGGCCTTCATAGGTGCTTGCTAACAGCACTTGCCCCTACAGTCTGTCAAGGCTATACGGGGGATCTTTGTCTTGTACACGTGTGTACACAAAGGGTGGCAGTACGGAATTTTTTTTTTGGATCAGAAAAAAATGTATACTGCCATTTCGTACCTCAGCAGAAACGCTTACCAAATAAGGGATGAATGACAGCTTGTAAAATAGTTTACTATATTTTTTGTAAAGTAAAAGCTCTTTAGAAATATTCCTCAACAGGTTTTGTTGTTGCCCAAATGACAGAAAGAAATGTTTTTATTCAAAAACACGCAATTGAAAAACATTGATTTATAAAACCGTTGTAATGTTTTCCTCCGTCATCAATGGTAAGTGGCATTTTGAGAAAGGAATCTAACCTGCTGCTTTAGTTTTGAATAACCAATGTTTAAATTCCTGCAGCTGCCTTTAAGGACAAGACGCGGGAATTATAATTATCAGAAATTAAGCTTAGCTTTTAATGAATTAATTGATCACCTGGGGTTAGTTATGGGTTGAAAAAAGACCTTACTTTTGTAGCTGATGAAAAAAATCCTAATTGTTATTTTGTACTGCCCCCTAGACGTACACACGTGTGTGTGTACGTGGGTAGCGGTAGTGTAGCAGTTAGCGCTATGAACTTGGCTACCCAGGTTCAATTCCAGTTCGCGGCCAACACCGGTGACGATTATTTGACCCGGTCCTGGGCCTCCCCTAGGTCAACTCAGCCTCAACTTAATACCTGGTGTGGTAAACACTGGGGAGACAAAGGCGGCCGGGCGTGGTGCTGGCCACCCACCCCCTTGTCTGCCGTGCTCGCTAACAGCACTTGCCCCCAACAGTCTGTCCTTTGTATGTCAGCGTGTCATTAACCATTTCGTAACCACAAATGTAACCGCTTTCCCATGGGTCTCATTCTCTCCCCCCCCTTGGCCAGGAGGCACCCGTCCGGTTGTTGCCCGTGCCCGTGGTGGTGCAGAGCGTGGCCACCGACGGGCGAGTCTTCCACTTCTCCGCGCTGCAGCTGAACACCACGGAGCTGCGGGGCGACGACGGGCCACGCAACGCGGCGTGGACGCTGGGAGACCAGCCGCTCTACGACTTCGCCAAGACGCAGCCACTCGTGCACAAGCGCATCGTGCAGGTGGGGGGAAGGGGGGGGAAGAGTAGGAAGGGGGGGGAAGGGGGGGGGGAAGAGTAGGAAGGGGGGGGGGGAAGAGTAGGAAGGGGGGGGGGAAGAGTAGGAAGGGGGGGGGGGAAGAGTAGGAAGGGGGGGGGGGAAGAGTAGGAAGGGGGGGGGGGAAGAGTAGGAAGGGGGGGGGGGAAGAGTAGGAAGGGGGGGGGGGGAAGAGTAGGAAGGGGGGGGGGGAAGAGTAGGAAGGGGGGGGGGGAAGAGTAGGAAGGGGGGGGGGGAAGAGTAGGAAGGGGGGGGGGGAAGAGTAGGAAGGGGGGGGGGGAAGAGTAGGAAGGGGGGGGGGGAAGAGTAGGAAGGGGGGGGGGGAAGAGTAGGAAGGGGGGGGGGGAAGAGTAGGAAGGGGGGGGGGGAAGAGTAGGAAGGGGGGGGGGGAAGAGTAGGAAGGGGGGGGGGGGAAGAGTAGGAAGGGGGGGGGGAGAGTAGGAAGGGGGGGGGGAAAGAGTAGGAGGGGGGGAAAGAGTAGGAGGGGGGGAAAGAGTAGGAGGGGGGGAAAGAGTAGGAGGGGGGGAAAGAGTAGGAGGGGGGGAAAGAGTAGGAGGGGGGGGGAAGAGTAGGAGGGGGGGGAAGAGTAGGAGGGGGGGGGGGAGAGTAGGAGGGGGGGGGGGAGTAGAAGGGGGGGGGGAGTAGAAGGGGGGGGGGAGAGTAGGAGGGGGGGGGAAGAGTAGGAAGGGGGGGGAAGAGTAGGAAGGGGGGGGGAGAGTAGGAAGGGGGGGGGGAGAGTAGGAAGGGGGGGGGAGAGTAGGAAGGGGGGGGGAGAGTAGGAAGGGGGGGGGAGAGTAGGAAGGGGGGGGGGGAGTAGGAAGGGGGGGGGAGAGTAGGAAGGGGGGGGGAGAGTAGAAGGGGGGGGGAGAGTAGAAGGGGGGGGGAGAGTAGGAGGGGGGGAAGAGTAGGAAGGGGGGGGAGAGTAGGAGGGGGGGGGAGAGTAGGAAGGGGGGGGGAAGAGTAGGAAGGGGGGGGGGAAGAGTAGGAGGGGGGGGGGAAGAGTAGGAGGGGGGGGGAAGAGTAGGAGGGGGGGGGAAGAGTAGGAGGGGGGGGGAAGAGTAGGAGGGGGGGGGGAGAGTAGGAGGGGGGGGAGAGTAAGAAGGGGGGGGGAGAGTAGGAGGGGGGGGAGAGTAGGAGGGGGGTGGGAGTAGGAAGAGTAGGAGGGGGTTCTTGAGTGTTGTGGTGCTTTGGCTGATGTCCCTTCTCTCCACCGCTCCCACCCCCCAGGTCCCAGTGGGGGTCTCAGGTTTCAACTCCAGCACCTTCTACACCTTCCTTGCCTTCTTCCTCAACGGAGCCCTGTGACAGACCAACTCACTCACTCGCACAACCACTCACCAACTCACCCACCCACCAACTCACTCACTCGCACAACCACTCACCCACTCACCCACTCACCCACCCACTCACCAACTCACTCACACCACTCATCCCACTTGTAGACCTCCGGTTTTGGCCGCTGTGATTCCAGCTTCTTGCACCGCCCTGCCTCTGCAGGGGCCCTTCCCAGCGTCTCTTCAACACCCCCACCCAGTCCCTCCTAGGCCCTCCCGTGCGAGCGAGGCAGCGTTGTGTACCGTGCCTGCTTGAGTTTGTTCCATCTCCTGGCTAAATAAAGGATACGTACACGCATGCAACCTTGCCCAGTGAAGCCGCGTGTGCCTCTGCTTCCCCTCTAGGCTTGCCCCCTGCACTCCTTGTGTACACTGTGTGAGCGTGCGTCCGTGCCATGGAGAGGGGATGACCCGCGGCCTGGGCATCCCCAAGGTCGACTCAGCCTCAAATGAGTACTGCCAACTTTAACCCACTTTAATCGCGGGCAGTGACCGAAACCCGGATTGGAACCCAGGTTCTCGGTTTCCGTGGTGAGATGTTAACTACCTCGCCTTGAAAACAGATCGTGGGTTCGACCCCGGCGCCTGCTGTATATTCGGAGTTTGCGTGTCTCTCTCCCCGTGGTGGTCGCGTGGATTTTTTTCCCTCCGGGTCCTCCGATTTTTCCCTTCCACATTTAGAATCAAACATCGCCACGCGTCTTCAGAGTATTTGGCAGCCGCCGCCGCCGCTGCAAATTTCCGCACGACGATGAGCCCCACTTTCGTTGAGCCGTCATTCGTGGCCCAGCTTCGTTTCTGGGCAGAAATAAGCTGCATTAGCTCAGCGAGCCTTACCTGCTCAGATTTTGTCTTTAAACATCGTTTACGTTGAAGTGACCCGGTCCCCGCCGACCCCGAAGGCGCGATCCCTGGCGGTGGCCGCGAGAGGGCGACTCGCGCCCCAGGCTCCAAGCGAGCGCGGCGCCCGCGTGTCGATCGACGCCCCCAGGCAGCGGCGTCCGTCGATCGGTGTTGGACCGGGCGAGCGCGGAATCGTGGTCGTTGCCGAAACATCGCTGGTTTGGTGGCGCTTGGAGCTGGTGTTATTGGTTGGTGGTGGTGGTGGGTGGGCGGTGGTTGATGTTGATAATTGGTGGTGGGTTGGTGTTGATGGTGGTGCTTGTTAGTAGTGGTGGTGATTAATTGATGGTCTCGGCCCAGTTAAAGTGCACGAAAATCCATCAGATCTAGGCCTTTGACCATACTTCACCACTCTGGTCAGCCCTAGTAAACTATACGATAGGTCAACAACGTTATAAACAGACAACCACCCCCCCTGCCCCCGTGTGTTGAGGGTGCGCCTGCTAATTTGGTAGTGGTGCCGTGCGTGCAGCGGTGTAGGCGAGACAGAGCAGTCGAGTTGTCTTGATCACGTGGGAGAGTATGAGAGGGGATCGCTGGCGTTGTGGCTAGCGTGCCACGCGACGAACCTGGCCACCCCGAGTTGGACTCCCGCTCACGGCCAACACCGGTGACGATTATCTGAACCGGTACTGGGCCCCTCCCCCCTAGGTCGACTCGGCTTCAAAACGAGTTGCCCAAGTGCTGTGGGTAAAAACATCGCCACTTGGGAGACAAAGGCGGCCGGGCGTGGAGCCGGCCACCCACCCCCTCGCCTCGTGTGGCACTCGCTAACAGTGCCCGCCGGTGTGTACGTCCTCACAGTGCGACTGTCCTCACACAGGCACCGTGGCTACATCACCGTGGCTACAACACCGTGGCTACAACACCGTGTCTTCGTGTGCGAATCAGTGCCGGATTATCCTAGTAGCACAAGGAGCATATACGACGGGGCCCCGCACTTTCAAGGGCCCCACGCTAATACGCTTTCAAGCTATCAATTCTGGTTCAGTGACTCTGCACTTGCTCTATTACTATAGTACTATACCGCCTTCAACTTCTGTGAACGACCGGGTGTTTAAGCTTAGCGATTTGTCGTATTATCCGGCTGGATAGCAAATGTAAAAATACAATTACTTCACTATGCAAGTTAAACATTTATGTCTTTTAATATTTACGTGTTTTAAAAAACAAATGCAGGGCCCCTTTATAACATATGCTACAGGCCCACGCTAGCTTAATCCGGCACTGGTGCGAATGGTGTGTACTGCTATCCGGTATGTGCTGCGATTTGGGAGGGAGTCGCTCTCACGAAACCCCGGCGACGCGAGCTTCAATGAACCCCGCGGCGTCGATCGGCTTGACGCGAACCGCCCAAGTTGCCGCGCTCGAAGCCGAACCGGTGACCTCCGCCGCGGGTGGGAGCGAGCGCCGCGGGTGGGAGCGAGCGCCGCGAGCGGGGGGCGCGGTACGAGGGCCGCAGACCGAACGCGCGCCTGCCGCGTCCGTACCGAACGATGTCGCGTCTCGACACGTTCCGACTTAACTTGGCGACAACGAACGTTAACGAGCCGTTGCGAGACGCCACGACGTCGCCCCCGACAACGTCGCCCCCGACAACGTCGCCCCCGACAACGTCGCCCCCGACAACGTCGCCCCCGACAACGTCGCCCCCGACAACGTCGCCCCCGACAACGTCGCCCCCGACAACGTCGCCCCCGACAACGTCGCCCCCGACAACGTCGCCCCCGACAACGTCGCCCCCGACAACGTCGCCCCCGACAACGTCGCCCCCCGACAACGTCGCCCCCGACAACGTCGCCCCCGACAACGTCGCCCCCGACAACGTCGCCCCCGACAACGTCGCCCCCAACAACGTCGCCCCCAACAACGTCGCCCACAACAACGTTGCCCCAACGTCGTCCCCCCCCCGACGACAACGCCCCCCCCGACAACGTCGCCCCCGACGTCACCCGTCGCCCCAACGTCACCCCAACAACGTCGTCACCCCATCGCTCCGTCCAAGCGATGGCGTCAACCTCTCGTCATGTTGATTGCGGTGCCGATTGTTGCTGGCCGCTTGACGTTTGAAAAAAAAAAAATTCCCGGACCCTTTTGTGCTTTGGCCAACCGTGTTGTAAAAACAAGAACAACACCAGGACGACAACAACACAACAACACAACACCACAACAACACAACAACACAACACCACACGCGCACCGGTATCGTGCTTTGCTCAAGGTGACACCGGGTCCGGCCATCCCTCCGCTCTTCACCCCCAACCCGCGGATGTGATTGGCTCCGTGCGACGGGTGGTGGAGGGTCTTGGCGACACAGACCTGCAGGCTCGGTAGGGGTGAGGGCGGCGTGCACGCTGTTGACGAGGGGTCCCTGCTACACCGCAGCGTCCGTCCGTGAATTTCCGTTCGCGGTGAGGTTTTTTTTTAGCTGCGCATGGGAAGGAGACTGGAGAGAGCGAGGGCGGTGGTGGCGGACGATGCTCTAAGCTCTGCACGGATGGATTCAAGAATTCACACCTCGCAGCAACACGCTCACGAAACACCTGGTGGTGGTGGTCACCCATCCGAGTACAGCGTTCAGCGGGCTCAGACCTGCTTAGCTTGCGAGGGTAGGTGGGCGGTGGGGGGGGGTTAGGAGGGGGGCTTGCGTGTGCTCCCTCGTCGACGCCACTCGGCGATATTTTGATCGTCGTTTGATCGAAGTGCTGATCGTTTGATCGATGAACGCGCTGTAAACGTCATGTCTCCTCCACCGGCAATTCGCCATCACCGCCACCACCACCACCATCATCACCGCCGCCACAGCCACAGCCACTGCCATCACTGCCCGCTGGCCTCTCGGTCCAGCAGCTCGTAGCGCCGGCGCAGCTCCCCGACGCGCCCTTGCCCCAGGGCGGCCGTGCCGGGCTGTGCCGAGGGGGATGCGGAGCGGAGGGGCCCGCCGGGCTGGGATGCCGGGCGTGCCAGGCGTGCCGAGCGCGCCGAGCGCGCCGGGAGCGTCGGGAGCGTCGAGCGCGCCGGGGGGGGGCAGCTGAGCCGCACCGCGTCCCCCCGAACGAGCAGCAGCGGCGAGGGCGGAGGAGTCGCCTCGGATGCCGCCGTTGCCGCGGCGACGTCGGTGAGGAGCGACGGCAGCGAGCCGCCGTGGTGGTTGCCGCCCGACACCCCCGCCATCGCTGCCGCCCGGCGCCGCGGGGAGGGAGACGAGGTGGACGACGAGGAGGAGGAGGTGGAGCTATGGAGACGGGGGTGGGGGGAGAGAGCGGAGAGGTCACGGGGCCGGTGGACATCGGAGAGACTATACTGGCGTCTGGCTAAAGGTGTTGTGCGTGTTGTGTGTGTGTTGTGCATGTTGTGCGTGTTGTGCATGTTGTGCGTGTTGTGCGTGTTGTGTGTGTTGTGTGTGATGTGTGTTGTGCGTGTTGTGTGTGTTGTGCGTGTTGTGCGTGTTGTGCGTGTTGTGTGTGTTGTGCGTGTTGTGTGTGATGTGCGTGTTGTGTGTGATGTGCGTGTTGTGCGTGTTGTGTGTGTTGTGCGTGTTGTGCGTGTTGTGTGTGTTGTATGTGTTGTGCGTGTTGTGTGTGTTGTGCGTGTTGTGCGTGTTGTGTGTGTTGTGCGTGTTGTGTGTGTTGTGCGTGTTGTGTGTGTTGTGTGTGTTGTGCGTGTTGTGCGTGTTGTGTGTGTTGTGCGTGTTGTGCGTGTTGTGTGTGTTGTGCGTGTTGTGTGTGTTGTGCGTGTTGTGCGTGTTGTGTGTGTTGTCCGGTTGTGTGTGTTGTGCGTGTTGTGTGTGTTGTGCGTGATGCGTGTTGTGCGTGTTGTGTGTGTTGTGTGTGTTGTGTGTGTTGTGCGTGTTGTGCGTGTTGTGTGTGTTGTGCGTGTTGTGCGTGTTGTGTGTGTTGTGTGTGTTGTCCGGTTGTGTGTGTTGTGCGTGTTGTGTGTGTTGTGCGTGATGCGTGTTGTGTGTGTTGTGCGTGTTGTGTGTGTTGTGTGTGATGTGCGTGATGTGTGTGTTGTGTGTGTTGTGCGTGTTGTGCGTGTTGTGTGTGTTGTGTGTGTTGTGCGTGTTGTGTGTGTTGTCCGGTTGTGCGTGTTGTGCGTGTTGTGCGTGTTGTGTGTGTTGTCCGGTTGTGTGTGTTGTGCGTGTTGTGTGTGTTGTGCGTGATGCGTGTTGTGTGTGTTGTGCGTGTTGTGCGTGTTGTGCGTGATGCGTGTGTTGTGTGTGTTGTGCGTGTTGTGCGTGTTGTGCGTGTTGTGTGTGTTGTGTGTGTTGTGCGTGTTGTGTGTGTTGTGCGTGTTGTGTGTGTTGTGCGTGATGTGCGTGTTGTGCGTGTTGTGTGTGTGTTGTGCGTGTTGTGTGTGTTGTCCGGTTGTGTGTGTTGTGCGTGTTGTGTGTGTTGTGCGTGTTGTGCATGTTGTGCGTGATGCGTGTTGTGTGTGTTGTGTGTGTTGTGTGTGTTGTGCGTGATGCGTGTTGTGTGTGTTGTGCGTGTTGTGCGTGTTGTGCGTGTTGTGCGTGTTGTGTGTGTTGTGTTTGTTGTGTGTGTTGTGCGTGTTGTGTGTGTTGTGCGTGTTGTGTGTGTTGTGTGTGATGTGCGTGATGCGTGTTGTGTGTGTTGTGCGTGTTGTGTGTGTTGTGCGTGTTGTGCGTGTTGTGCGTGTTGTGTGTGTTGTGTGTGTTGTGCGTGTTGTGTGTGTTGTGTGTGTTGTGCGTGTTGTGCGTGTTGTGCGTGTTGTGCGTGTTGTGTGTGATGTGCGTGATGTGCGTGATGCGTGTTGTGTGTGATGTGCGTGTTGTGTGTGTTGTGCGTGTTGTGCGTGTTGTGCGTGTTGTGCGTGTTGTGCGTGTTGTGCGTGTTGTGTGTTGTGCGTGTTATGTGTGTTGTGCGTGTTGTGCGTGTTGTGTGTGTTGTGCGTGTTGTGTGTGTTGTGCGTGTTGTGCGTGTTGTGTGTGTTGTGCGTGTTGTGTGTGTTGTGCGTGTTGTGTGTGTTGTGCGTGTTGTGCGTGTTGTGTGTGTTGTGTGTGTTGTCCGGTTGTGTGTGTTGTGCGTGTTGTGTGTGTTGTGCGTGATGCGTGTTGTGTGTGTTGTGCGTGTTGTGCGTGTTGTGTGTGATGTGCGTGATGTGCGTGATGCGTGTTGTGTGTGTTGTGCGTGTTGTGCGTGTTGTGTGTGTTGTGTGTGTTGTGCGTGTTGTGTGTGTTGTCCGGTTGTGCGTGTTGTGCGTGTTGTGCGTGTTGTGTGTGTGTTGTCCGGTTGTGTGTGTTGTGCGTGTTGTGTGTGTTGTGCGTGATGCGTGTTGTGTGTGTTGTGCGTGTTGTGCGTGTTGTGCGTGTTGTGTGTGATGTGCGTGTTGTGTGTTGTGGGTGATGTGCGTGATGTGCGTGTTGTGCGTGTTGTGCGTGTTGTGCGTGTTGTGTGTGTTGTGCGTGTTGTGCGTGTTGTGCGTGTTGTGTGTTGTGCGTGTTGTGTGTGTTGTGCGTGTTGTGTGTGTTGTGCGTGTTGTGTGTTGTGCGTGTTGTGTGTTGTGCGTGTTGTGTGTGTTGTGCGTGTTGTGTGTGTTGTGCGTGTTGTGTGTTGTGCGTGTTGTGTGTTGTGTGTGTTGTGCGTGTTGTGCGTGTTGTGTGTGTTGTGCGTGTTGTGTGCGCTGTGTGTGTTGTGCGTGTTGTGTGTGATGTGCGTGTTGTGTGTGATGTGCGTGTTGTGCGTGTTGTGTGTGTTGTGTGTGATGTGCGTGTTGTGCGTGTTGTGCGTGTTGTGTGTGTTGTGCATGTTGTGTGTGTTGTGCGTGTTGTGCGTGTTGTGTGTGTTGTGTGTGTTGTTCACCAGCGTTGTCGCTGTGTTGTCCAAGTAAGGCCTACTGAGCTATATTGCTCTTCGTCAGAAGTGACCTGGCCACAAGCGGTAGCTCAACAAAGTGGCTGATCATGTAGAAATTAAAATCGGCCAAATACTCAAAAACGGAGGACCTAGAGAAAAATCCACGTGACCACGGGGAGAGAAAAATGCAAACTCCAAATATACAGGCGGTAGGGTCGGCATCGAATCCAACGATATATACCAGGCGAGGTAGTTAACATCTCAGTTGCGCGTGTGTGTTGTTAGATTGTGCGTTGTCTGATTGTACGGCTGTAGTCCGACTATACGAGCGTAGTCCGGGCGAGGCGAGTTGTGAGCTTCGGTCGGTGTCGTAGGCTTCCACCTGAGATGTGAGGTGTCCACCTCTTCTTCTTCCTCCTCCTCGTCCTCGCTCTGCAGGGCTCCTCCACCCCTCACCTCCTCACCGTGCTCACCTGGACGGTGACGCACACACGCACGGGGATGTCCATGGCTACACTCGGGAACGACGCGCGCCGCTACTCCGTCGCGTCGACTGGGCAACACAAGTCACCATGGGGTCCCCCCGCGTCTCCCACCTCGTCCACCTCCTCATCCCCCCCGCGTCTCCCACCTCGTCCACCTCCTCATCCCCCCCCGCGTCTCCCACCTCGTCCACCTCCTCATCCCCCCCCCGCGTCTCCCACCTCGTCCTCCTCCTCAAAGACGGTGGTCACCGCATCGTCGCGCGTTTTCAGATGCGCTTCTGCAGCCGTCTGGAATGCTCTTTCCTTTTAAATCATCGAGATTGAAAACTCATTCGTTTAGAACTAGCACGGTCATCTACAGTACGGTGCGCAAATAATTTCCACGTACACACAAGTCGCCCGGCACCGATAAAGCCGCCACCCCCCCCCCCCCCCTGCCGTTTCTGGGTGGTTCAACCTGGACACAGTCTCACCTCCTTGTCCCCCACGCATCTCTGAGGGGGGCGGCGGTGTTGCCGAGCGGAAGAAGTGGCCGTTGCCGGGGCCCGGTTGCGGTGGCGACGACGGGAGGCAGATCCCCAGCACCGCCATGTCGTCATGGCCACCACAGAGGGACGTCTACGGGGGTGGTGAGGCGGGGGGGGAAGGAGACACCAGAAACGGAAAAGGTGAGGGTTCAGGTGAGGTTCTGGAACGTGAGATAATTAAAACGATTATGACGATTGTCATGCCGATTGCACAATGGTGATGGCGGTGATGGTTGATGGTGATGATGACATGAATGACACGCCGATGACAGCCGATAATTCCTTGGATCAAATCACGACCCACCAACCCTCGCATCCAAAGCACTGAACCACGCCCGTCATACCCCCCCCGCCCCCCCCCCCCCCCCCCCCAAATACAGACGACCCCCACTCACGAAGACAAAGATCCCCCGTGTAGCCTTAACAGACTGTTGGGGCAAGTGCTGTTAGCGAGCACCTACAGTGAGGGGAAAAAAAGTATTCGATCCCCTGCTGATTTTGTACGTTTGCTCACTGACAAAGAAATGATCAGTCTATAATTTTAATGGTAGGTTTATTTAAACAGTGAGAGACAGAATAACAACAAAAAAATCCAGAAAAACGCATGTCAAAAATGTTATAAATTGATTTGCATTTTAATGAGGGAAATAAGTATTTGACCCCCTCTCAATCAGAAAGATTTCTGGCTCCCAGGTGTCTTTTATACAGGTAACGAGCTGAGATTAGGAGCACACTCTTAAAGGGAGTGCTCCTAATCTCAGCTTGTTACCTGTATAAAAGGCACCTGTCCACAGAAGCAATCAAATCAATCAGATTCCAAACTCTCCACCATGACCAAGACCAAAGAGCTCTTCAAGGATGTCAGGGACAAGATTGTAGACCTACACAAGGCTGGAATGGGCTACAAGACCATTGCCAAGCAGCTTGGTGAGAAGGTGACAACAGTTGGTGCGATTATTCGCATATGGAAGAAACACAAAAGAACTGTCAATCTCCCTCGGCCTGGGGCTCCATGCAAGATTTCACCTCGTGGAGTTGCAATGATCATGAGAACGGTGAGGAATCAGCCCAGAACTACACGGGAGGATCTTGTCAATGATCTCAAGGCAGCTGGGACCAAAGTCACCAAGAAAACAATTGGTAACACACTACGCCGTGAAGGACTGAAATCCTGCAGCGCCCGCAAGGTCCCCATGCTCAAGAAAGCACATATACATGCCCGTCTGAAGTTTGCCAATGAACATCTGAATGATTCAGAGGACAACTGGGTAAAAGTGTTGTAGTCAAATGAGACCAAAATGTAGCTCTTTGGCATCAACTCAACTCGCCGTGTTTGGTGGAGGAGGAATGCTGCCTATGACCCTAAGAACACCATCCCCACCGTAAAACATGGAGGTGGAAACATTATGCTTTGGGTGTTATTCTGCTAAGGGGACAGGACAACTTCACCGCATCAAAGGGACGATGGACGGGGCCATGTACGGTCAAATCTTGGGTGAGAACCTCCTTCCCTCAGCCAGGGCATTGAAAATGGATCGTGGATGGGTATTCCAGCATGACAATGACCCAAAACACACGGCCAAGGCAACAAAGGAATGGCTCAAGAAGAAGCACATTAAGGTCCTGGAGTAGCCTAGCCAGTCTCCAGACCTTAATCCCATAGAAAATCTGTGGAGGGAGCTGAAGGTTCGAGTTGCCAAACGTCAGCCTCGAAACCTTAATGACTTGGAGAAGATCTGCAAAGCGGAGTGGGACAAAATCCCTTCTGAGATGTGTGCAAACTTGGTGGCCAACTACAAGAAACGTCTGACCCCTGTGTTTGCCAACAAGGGTTTTGTCACCAAGTACTAAGTCATGTTTTGCAGAGGGGTCAAATACTTATTTCCCTCATTAAAATGCAAATCAAATTATAACATTTTTGACATGCGTTTTTCTGGATTTTGTTGTTGTTATTCTGTCTCTCACTGTTCAAATAAATCTACCATTAAAATTATAGACTGATCATTTCTTTGTCAGTGGGCAAAACGTACAAAATCAGCAGGGGATCAAATACTTTTTTTCCCTCACTGTATGAAGGCCGGCACGGCACACGAAGAGGGTTGGGGAGGCCAGCACCACGCCCGGCCGCCTTTGTCTCCCCAGCGGCGATGTTTTTACACACCGCACCAGGTGCTCATTCGAGGCCGAGCAGACCCAAAGTGGAGGCCCAGGACCGGTTCAAATCACCGTCGTTGGCCGTGAGCGGCAATCGAACCCCGGGTCGCCGGGGTTCGTAGCGCTAACCGCTGCACCGCCGCTCCCCGCACCCCCACTCACCTGCGAACTCCTCCACTCCTCCCCGCCGGCCCCGAGGAGGTCGTCGAGGCTGCGGGAGGCCGTCAAGGAGCGTGGCTCCAGCGCCGCGTCCAGCGAGGCGAGGATCTCCGACAGGAGATCCATCTCCTGCTGGGGGCCCGCGCTCAGCGGGGGGCTCCCGGGGCCCCCCTCGACCACCTCGGACGCCAAGGGCCTCCGCGAGCTGACCGCGAGTCGGCGTGGGGGGGGGGGGGGGGGGGCAAAGGGGGGGAGGTCAGAGGTCACCGGTGATGTCGTTCGTTAGCGAGGAGCAGTGGTGACGTTTACGCTCTTTATGCCAGGCGCCCGTTACGAGGCCGAGTCGGACCGGTTCGGATAATCGCCGCCACCGGCGTCGGTGATGGTGGCCGCGAGCGGGAATCGAACTTGGGTCGTTCTCCGCTGCGCTAACCGCTGCGCCACCGCTCCCCTCTCACTCGCACACACGCACGACGCGGACGTGCGTCATGCAGCACTAACGAGCCACACGCTCGTTAGCGCCGCATCATCCCTACCACCCCCTCTCTACCTGGGTGGGGGGGGGGGGGGGGAGATCGGAGACACCTGGGGATGCGAGCGGGCCGTTACCACGGCGACAGGCGTGGTCGTTAGTCCGTGGGGGTGGGGGCCGGAGTTGTGGGGGTGGGGGGGGGGGGCGAGTGGTGGATCGGAGCCCGGCGAGGTGATTACAGTGATTAGTGAAAGCGGAGAGCGAGGGTTGAACCGTCAGTCCAACGCGGCGCTCCCCTCCCCATCTGCCACACAGGGCGTGAGTGGAGACCCACCCCGTCACGTAACACCGCCCACCCCCCACGAGAGGGCCCCCTTACGTGACCCCCCCCCCACCACCCCCCCCCCCCCCGAGTAGGGGTGGTGGTGGGGGTGCCATGACCCATCGCGGCTTGGAACTCAGCGGCCGCCCTGGTTAACACTGCACCTTTGAAAAAGAGGTTAATTATTCAAAATGGCGTTTACTCAGGAAAGCCACTTCTTCTGATGATCATCATCATCAATGAAAACAATGGCCATTCAATCATCTTCAGTTATCGCAGCCCACAGCAGACTATTTTCGTCGCCGTATTTGAAAATGACACCGCAAATAAATTGACGGGTAAAGCCACGACAGCAGCAGCAGCAGCATGGCCTGCCCGCCGTGAGACTACAGCAGGCTGTGCGCGTCTGTCTGACAGCAGCAGCAGCATCATCTCCCGCCCGCCGTGAGACTACAGCAGGCTATGTGCGTCTGTCTGACAGCAGCAGCATCATCTCCCACCCGCCGTGAGACTACAGCAGGCTGTGTGCGTCTGCCTGACAGCGGTAGCAGCAGGGCCTAGCTTCGTGGCTATAGCAGTGCTACAGCCACCATCAACACCACTGTCACTATGAGCCATGCCCTATCCACTGCTGGATGAACGCCTCCTCCTCTTCTCCAAACCGCCACTGCCACCAACACCACAACTACCACCAGCACCAAAGACAAAGATTTATCCGTGGAGCCTGAACAGACTGTTGGGGCAAGCGCTGTTAGCAAGCGCCTATGGATGCCGGCACGGCACACGAGGGGTGTGTGGCCATCACCACGCCGACTGCCTGTGTCTCTCTCGTGGCGATGTTTTACACACCGCTTCACCAGGTATTCATTTGAGGCTGAGTCGACCTAGAGGAGGCCCAGGACCGGCTCAGATAACCGTCACCGGTGTTGGCCATGAGCGGGAATCGAACTCGGGCCGCCGGATTCGTAGCGCTAACCGCGATGCCGCTGCCGCTGCCGCCAACACCACCGCCACCGCCTCTCGCGATCGCCACGATCCACACAACGAGCCGATTCCAGCATCACGTGTTCGGGGGGTGGGGGACTGTCAGTGCCGTGCTGTTACTTAAGGGGGGGGGCAGCGGGGAGGGGAAAGTGGTGGGGTGGGGGGGGGGGGGCGCCCAGGGTAAATTTATTTCGGTGGGGGTGAAGGGGGGGGGGGGGGAGAGTCTCACAATCAGAATCTTGTATTCATCCCGGAGGGAATCCGATGAGCTATAAAGCTCTTCTTTCACAGACGTCCAATCGACTCACCTCGTCCTGCGCTGAGAGAGGCCCCTCCCTACGGCGGAGCTCCCCCCGTACGAGGAGCTGAGCAGTGCCACCTCCTGCGGTGGTGATGCAGGAAGGGGGGGGGGGGGAGTAATTAATGCTCATTAAGGCTCGTTAGTGGTCATTAGCGATCATTAGCGATCATTAGCGTGCGTAGCGTGCGTTAAGGCTCGTCAAGTGAGCGTGGCCATTCAGCAATCCCGGGGCACACGGACACACGGAGCAGGCAGGGTGGTGCGGGCAAGGTCACAGTCTGGGTCAGGGGTCAGAGACAGGGGTTAGAGTTCGGGGGTTAGACATTAGGGCTGGGGTTATAGTTTTAGTTGGGGTTGAGTTTAGGGTTAGAGATGGGATTGAGGATATGGTTGGGGTTAAGGTAGGGTGGTGCGGGCAAGGTCACAGTCTGGGTCAGGGGTCAGAGACAGGGGTTAGAGTTCGGGGGTTAGACATTAGGGCTGGGGTTATAGTTTTAGTTGGGGTTGAGTTTAGGGTTAGAGATGGGATTGAGGATAGGGTTGGGGTTAAGGTTTGGGTTGGGGTGAGAGTTTGAGGTTATGGTTAAAATGAATGATGGGTTTATGGTTAGAGATAGGGTTAGAGGATAGTGTCAGAGGTTAGTGTTGCAGGTTCGTATCGGGGGTTAGGGTTAAAGTTAGGGTTACGTGTTCGAGATTACTATTGGGGGTTATAGGGTTAAAGTTAGGGTTAGTGTTGGGGTTAGGTTTGAGGTTATGATTATAATGAATGCTGTGGTTATGGTTATAGATAGAGTTAGAGGTTCCTATTCTGGGGTTAGGGTTAAAGTTAGGGTTTGGGTTGAGCGATGGGTGGGAGGAGAGGGCAGCAGATGGGAGATGCAGTGGGAGGAGAGCATTGGGGGATCACAGGGTCCACGGATTCAACTCCCCACTGAGCTTGACTCACACCCAACTCCACACAGCCACGAAGACAAAGATCCCCCACCCTCCCCCGTATAGTCTCAACAGACTGTTGGAGCAAGTGCTGTTAGCGAGCACCTATAAAGGCCGGCACGGCACACGAGGGGATGGGTGGCCAGCACCTAGTGGAGGCCGTGAACGGGAATTGAAACCGGGTCGCCAGGTTCGTAGCGCAGAGCGCTAACCGCTACACCACTGCTCCCCACCCGTACGCACACACAGACACACATACACGATGGCACCATGATAGACACAAACATTCACCACTCACTCGACACACACAAAGACAAAGATCCCCGCTATATAGCACACACGGACACACACACAGACACATATAGACAGACACATACACACGAACTCACACACGGACACACACGCGACATCATGACAGACACGCACATTCATCACTCACCCGACACACACAAAGACAAAGATCCCCGCTATACAGCACACATGGACACACACGGACACATACACACGGACACACACACACGGACACACCACCGCCATTGTCACTAAACGCTGTCTCTGAACACAACAAGGCAGCGTTTAAAACGACAGACCGCTTCGGAGAGCAGAGAAAGACGGAACAAGACAAAGTGAGGTGGTGGGGGGGGGGCAGGGGGGTCGTCGTCACTTTCATGAACTGGGAAATCGTGGATCGGGGATTATCCCCTAATCTGGCTTAAACGCCAAGTGCGCGCGTCAATCGTGCACCCACCCATCCTCCGTTAATCCGTGACCCCCTAACCCTCACCCCCCCACCCACCAACACACCCACCCCCACTTCTGCCACGTAACCCCCTAGAGGGCACAATGGACTGCTCCTCCACCCCGGGCCCGTAACCCCCTAGAGGGCACAATGGACTGCTCCTCCACCCCGGGCCCGTGTGCTGTGGGAGATACCAAGGGACCAATTAGTGGGTGGGCCCTGATCCGGACGGGGTCCGGAGGGGCGCTGTGTGTGTGGGGGAAATGTTGGGTGGTGGTGGTGGTTGGCGGTGGTGGTGATGGTGGTGGTGATGGCGGTGTGTGTCACGGTGGTGATGGTTGGTGGTGTGTGTCTGTGTATATCAGTGTGGTGGTAGTGTGTGTCTGTGTGTATCAGTGTGGTGGTGGTGTGCGTCAGTGTATATCAGTGTGGTGGTGGTGTATATCAGTGTACTGGTGGTAGTGTGTGTCTGTGTGTATCAATGTGGTGGCGGTGATGTGTGTCTGGGTGCTGATGGTGGTGTGTGTCTGGGTGTATCAGTGTGGTGGTGGTGTGTCAGGGTGATGGTGGTAGTGTGTGTTTCAATGTGGTGGCGGTGATGTGTGTCTGGGTGCTGATGGTAGTGTGTGTCTGTGTGTATCAGTGTGGTGGTGGTGTGTGTCAGGGTGCTGGTGGTACTGTGTCTGTGTGTATCAGTGTGGTGGTAGTGTGTGTCTGTGTGCTGGTGGTAGTGTGTGTCTGTGTGTATCAGTGTGGTAGTGGTGTGTCAGGGTGATGGTGGTAGTGTGTGTCTGTGTGTATCAGTGTGGTGGTGGTGTGTGTCAGTGTGCTGGTGGTAGTGTGTGTCTGTGTGTATCAGTGTGGTGGTGGTGTGTGTCAGGGTGCTGGTGGTACTGTGTCTGTGTGTATCAGTGTGGTGGTAGTGTGTGTCTGTGTGCTGGTGGTAGTGTGTGTCTGTGTGCTGGTGGTAGTGTGTGTCTGTGTGTATCAGTGTGGTAGTGGTGTGTCAGGGTGATGGTGGTAGTGTGTGTCTGTGTGTATCAGTGTGGTGGTGGGGTGTGTCAGTGTGCTGGTGGTAGTGTGTGTCTGTGTGTATCAGTGTGGTAGTGGTGTGTCAGGGTGATGGTGGTAGTGTGTGTCTGTGTGTATCAGTGTGGTGGTGGTGTGTGTCAGTGTGCTGGTGGTAGTGTGTGTCTGTGTGTATCAGTGTGGTGGTGGTGTGTCAAGGTGCTGGTGGTATTGTATGTCTGTGTGTATCAGTGTGGTGGTGGTGTGTCAGGGTGCTGGTGGTAGTGTGTGTCTGTGTGTATCAGTGTGGTGGTGGTGTGTCAGGGTGCTGGTGGTAGTGTGTGTCTGTGTGTATCAGTGCGGTGGTGGTGTATATCAGTGTGCTGGTAATAGTGTGTGTCTGTGTGTATCAGTGTGGTGGTGGTGTGTGTCAGTGTGCTGGTGGTAGTGTGTGTCTGTGTGTATCAGTGTGCTAGTGGTGTGTCAGGGTGATGGTGGTAGTGTGTGTATCAATGTGGTGGCGGTGATGTGTGTCTGGGTGCTGATGGTAGTGTGTGTCTGTGTGTATCAGTGCGGTGGTGGTGTGTGTCAGGGTGCTAGTGGTAGTGTGTGTCTGTGTGTATCAATGCGGTGGTGGTGTGTCAGTGTGCTGGTGGTAGTGTGTGTCTGTGTGTATCAGTGGGGAGCGGTAGTGTAGCGGTTAGCGCGCTGCGCTATGAACCTGGCGAACCGGGTTCGATTCCCGCTCACGGCCAACACCAGTGACGATTATCTGAACCGGTCCTGGGCCTCCCCTAGGTCGACTCAGCCTCAAATGAGTACCTGGTGCGGTGGATAAAAACATTGCCACTGGGGAGACTAAGGCGGTCGGGCGTGGTGCTGGCCACCCACCCCCTCGTGTACCGTTCCGGCCTTCATAGGTGCTCGCTAACAGAACTTGCCCCTACAGTCTGTTAAGGCTATACGGGGGATCTTTGTCTTTATCAGTGCGGTGGTGGTGTGTGTCAGGGTGCTGGTGGTAGTTTGTGTCTGTGTGTATCAGTGCGGTGGTGGTGTGTCAGGGTGCTGGTGGTAGTGTGTGTCTGTGTGTATCAGTGCGGCGGTGGTGGTGTGTGTCAGGGTGCTGGTGGTAGTGTGCGTCTGTGTGTGTCAGTGTGCTGGTGGTAGTGTGTGTCTGTGTGTATCAGTGCGGTGGTGGTGTGTGTCAGGGTGCTCGTGGTAGTGTGTGTCTGTGTGTATCAGTGCGGTGGTGGTGTGTCAGGGTGCTGGTGGTAGTGTGTGTCTGTGTGTATCAGTGCGGTGGTGGTGTGTGTCAGTGTGCTGGTGGTAGTGTGTGTCTGTGTGTATCAGTGCGGTGGTGGTGTGTGTTAGGGTGCTGGTGGTGGTGTGCGTCTGTGTGTATCAGTGCGGTGGTGGTGTGTGTCTGGGTGCTGGTGGTAGTGTGTGTCTGTGTGTATCAGTGCGGCGGTGGTGGTGTGTGTCAGTGTGCTGGTGGTAGTGTGTGTCTGAGTGTATCAGTGCGGTGGTGGTGTGTGTCAGTGTGCTGGTGTTAGTGTGTGTCTGTGTGTATCAGTGCGGTGGTGGTGTGTGTCAGGGTGCTGGTAGTAGTGTGTGTCTGTGTGTATCAGTGCAGTGGTGGTGTGTGTCAGTGTGCTGGTGTTAGTGTGTGTCTGTGTGTATCAGTGCGGTGGTGGTGTGTGTCAGGGTGCTGGTAGTAGTGTGTGTCTGTGTGTATCAGTGCGGTGGTGGTGTGTCAGTGTGCTGGTGGTAGTGTGTGTCTATGTGTATCAGTGCGGTGGTGGTGTGTGTCAGGGTGCTGGTGGTAGTGTGTGTCTGTGTGTATCAGTGCGGTGGTGGTGTGTGTCAGTGTGCTGGTGTTAGTGTGTGTCTGTGTGTATCAGTGCAGTGGTGGTGTGTGTCTGGGTGCTGGTGGTAGTGTGTGTCTATGTGTATCAGTGCAGTGGTGGTGTGTCAGTGTGCTGGTGGTAGTGTGTGTCTATGTGTATCAGTGCGGTGGTGGTGTGTGTCAGGGTGCCGGTGGTAGTGTGCGTCTGTGTGGCAGTGGTGGTTGAGGGAGCTTCCCCGCAGGTCTCTGAGGGCCTTCATTAGTGAGCTCCAGGAACGGGCTCCAGATGAATGGCTGTAGTAGGTGAGACGGAAGGGCAGGGAGGAGGGATTCCAGATTTGTCTCACACCTCCACCCCCCCTCCCACCACCGCCTGCCCCCACCTCGTTAGCTCGCAGAAAGATGGAACAAAAAAATTGTCCCATTTTATTCTCTGCCGCTGCCGTGGTGACGACGAGAGAGAGAGAGCCGCCGCCGCCGGCGCCGTGCGGGCTGTGGCTAATAGGAAAAACAAGCGCACGCCCCGTGGTGACCCCTGGTTGCCCTGCTGAGGTCAGAGCGATGTGCAGTTCGGCGGGCCGGAGATGTTTGTGAGCGTGTTGTGTGTGTGCGCGTGGAAGCGGGAGTGTAGTGGTTAGCGCTACGCTGCGCTACGAACCCGGCGACCCGAGTTCGATTCCCGCTCACGGTCAACACCGGTGGCGATTATTTGAGCAGGTCCTGGGCCTCCCCTAGGTCGACTCGGCCTCAAATGAGTACCTGGCACGGTGTGTAGTAAACATCGCCACTGGGGAGACAAAGGCGGCTGTGCGTGGTGCTGGCCCCCCACCCCCTTCGTGTGCCGTGCCGGCCTTCCTAGGTGCTGCTACTCGCTAACAGCACTGGCCCCGACAGTCTGTTACAGGCGTCAGCGTGCATGTCTCTGTGTTACTCTCTGCTCTAGTCTCCCCCCCCCCTACCCCTCCCACCGAGGATGATGGCAATGTCTCATCACGACTCGGACGCGTCACACGCTGACCCACTCGCCCTCTCGCCCGCTCGCCCTCTCGCCCGCTCGCCCTCTCGCCCGCTCGCCCGCTCGCCCGCTCGCCCACGCCGTCTCCCCGTGTCTCCTCACCGCGTGAGCCGTGTCCGTGTCGTCTCTGCGGGCGTCCACGTCGGACACGTGTCTCCTCACCCGGTGAGCCGACTCCACATCATCGCCCTCGTCATCGCTCACCACATCCTACGGCGGAGGAGGTGGTGGAGGAGGTGGTGGAGGAGGTGGAGAAGGAGGTGGAGGAGGAAGTGGAGGAGGAGATGGAGGAGGTGGTGGTGGTGGTGAAGCAGGTGGTGGAGGAGATGATGGAGGAGGTGGTGGAGGAGGTGGTGAAGTAGGAGATGGAGGAGGACATGGAGGAGGAGGTGGTGAAGAAGGAGGTGAAGTAGGAGGTGGAGGAGGAGATGGAGGAGGAATAGGATTTTACAAACAGTGCAGGACGCAGACACGAGGACACGTGAGATACGAGACAGGGACTTGGAGGCACATGAGACAGGGACACGGGCACACACCGACAGACACAAAGACGCAGACAACACAAAGATCCCCACCCCCAATACAGCCTTCACAGACTGTTGGGGCAAGTGCTGTTAGCAAGCGGCACCTGTGAAAGCCGGCATGGCACACGAGGCGGTGGGTGGCCAGCACCACACCTCCGATTAGCACGGTTGGCTACGTACAGTGAGGGAAAAAAGTATTTGATCCCCTGCTGATTTTGTACGTTGGCCCACTGACAAAGAAATGATCAGTCTATAATTTTAATGGTAGGTTCATTTGAACAGTGAGAGACATAATAACAAGAAAAAAATCCAGAAAAACGCATGTCAAAAATGTTATGAATTGATTTGCATTTAAATGAAGGAAATGAGTATTTGACCCCTCTGCAAAACATGACTTAGTACTTGGTGGCAAAACCCTTGTTGGCAATCACAGAGGTCAGACGTTTCTTGTAGTTGGCCACCAGGTTTGCACACATCTCAGGAGGGATTTTGTCCCACTCCTCTTTGCAGATCTTCTCCAAGTCATTAAGGTTTCGAGGCTGACGTTTGGCAACTCGAACCTTCAGCTCCCTCCACAGATTTTCTATGGGATTAAGGTCTGGAGACTGGCTAGGCCACTCCAGGACCTTAATGTGCTTCTTCTTGAGCCACTCTTTTGTTGCCTTGGCTGTGTGTTTTGGGTCATTGTCATGCTGGAATACCCATCCAAGACCCATTTTCAATGCCCTGGCAGAGGGAAGGAGGTTCTCACCCAAGATTTGACGGTACATGGCCCCGTCCATCGTCCCTTTGATGCGGTGAAGTTGTCCTGTCCCCTTAGCAAAAAAAAACCCCAAAGCATAATGTTTCCACCTCCATGTTTGACGGTGGGGATGGTGTTCTTGGGGTCATCGGCAGCATTCCTCCTCCTCCAAACACGGCGAGTTGAGTTTATGCCAAAGAGCTCCATTTTGGTCTCATCTGACCACAACACTTTCACCCAGTTGTCCTCTGAATCATTCAGATGTTCATTGGCAAACTTCAAACGGGCATGTATATGTGCTTTCTTGAGCAGGGGGACCTTGCGGGCGCTGCAGGATTTCAGTCCTTCACGGCGTAGTGTGTTACCAATTGTTTTCTTGGTGACTATGGTCCCAGCTGCCTTGAGATCATTGACAAGATCCTCCTGTGTAGTTCTGGGCTGATTCCTCACCGTTCTCATGATCATTGCAACTCCACGAGGTGAGATCTTGCATGGAGCCCCAGGGCGAGGGAGATTGACAGTTCTTTTGTGTTTCTTCCATTTGCGAATAATCACACCAACTTGTGTCACCTTCTCACCAAGCTGCTTGGCAATGGTCTTGTAGCCCATTCCAGCCTTGTGTAGGTCTACAATCTTGTCCCTGACATCCTTGGAGAGCTCTTTGGTCTTGGCCATGGTGGAGAGTTTGGAATCTGATTGATTGATTGCTTCTGTGGACAGGTGTCTTTTATACGGGTAACAAGCTGAGATTAGGAGCACTCCCTTCAAGACTGTGCTCCTAATCTCAGCTTGTTACCCGTATAAAAGACACCTGGGAGCCCGAAATCTTTTTGATTGAGTGGGGGTCAAATACTTATTTCCCTCATTAAAATGCAGATCAATTTATAACATTTTACACATGCGTTTTTCTGGATTTTTTTGTTGTTATTCTGTCTCTCACTGTTCCAATAAACCTACCATTAAAATTATAGACTGATCATTTCTTTGTCAGTGGGCAAACGTACAAAATCAGCAGGGGATCAAATACTTTTTTCCCTCACTGTGCGGTTCCAAATAAGTTCAACATACATATATACCACGCCCGGCCGCCTTTGTCTCCCTGGACACGTACAAAGACGCACACACACTCACCTTGTGCTTGTGTGCTGACTTGACCTCTTTGAACCCAAAGCGTCCCTTTGCCATCTTTGCGGGTGACACACGCAGACACACACACAGGCGTACAAACAGAGGTAAAGGTCCCCCGGATAGCCCATGGAGGCTGTTGGGCCCAAGGGCTGTTAAGCGAGTAGGACTGCCTCTGACCATCACTCGCCACTGACGTTATCGCCGGGGCCAGGAATCGAACTTGTGTCACCAGGTCCGTGGAGCGCAGTGGAGCGCGCGTGCTATGCATTGTGGGGCAAGTGCTGTCAGCGAGCACCTTGGCAGGCCGGAACGGTACACGAGGGGGTGGGTGGCCAGCACCACGCCCGACAGCCTTTGTCTTCCCAGTGGCGATGTTTACTACACACCGCACCAGGTACTAATTTGAGGCCGAGTCGACCTAGGGGAGGCCCAGGACCGGTTCAGATAATTATCGCCACTGGTGTTGGCCGTCAGCGGGAATTGAAGCTGCCGGGTTGCTAGTGTAGAGGCGCTAACCGCTATGCTGCCGCTCCTCACACACAGAGAAACACACACACACACTCTCACACAGAGAAACACACACACACACACTCTCACACACAGAGAAACACACACACACTCTCACACACAGAGAAACACACACACACACAGAGAAACACACACACACTCTCACACAGAGAAACACACACACACACAGAGAAACACACACACACTCTCACACAGAGAAACACACACACACACACTCTCACACACAGAGAAACACACACACACTCTCACACACAGAGAAACACACACACACACACTCTCACATACAGAGAAACACACACACTCTCACACACACAGAAACACACACACACACACTCTCACATACATAGACACACACACACACTCTCACACACAGAGAAACACACACACACTCTCACACAGAGAAACAGACACACACACTCTCACACACAGAGAAACACATACACTCTCACACACAGAGAAACACACACACACTCTCACACACACAGAAACACACACACACACTCTCACACACAGAGAAACACGCACACACTCTCACACACAGAGAAACACACACTCTCACACAGAGAAACACACACACTCTCACACACACAGAAACACACACACACACTCTCACACACAGAGAAACACGCACACACTCTCACACAGAGAAACAGACACACACACTCTCACACACAGAGAAACACACACACACTCTCACACACAGAGAAACACACACACACACACTCTCACATACATAGACACACACACACTCTCACACACACAGACACACACACACACACTCTCACACACAGAGAAACAGACACACTCTCACACACAGAGAAACACACACACACACACTCTCACATACATAGACACACACACACTCTCACACACACAGACACACACACACACTCTCGCACACAGAGAAACACACACATACATACTCTCACACACAGAGAAACACACACACACTCTCACACACAGAGAAACACACACACACTCTCACACAGAGAAACAGACACACACACTCTCACACACAGAGAAACACACACACACACAGAGAAACACACACTCTCACACACAGAGAAACACACACACACACTCTCACACACAGAGAAACACACACACACTCTCACACAGAGAAACACGCACACACTCTCGCACACAGAGAAACACACACATACATACTCTCACACACAGAGAAACACACACACACTCTCACACACAGAGAAACACATACACTCTCACACACAGAGAAACACATACACACTCTCACACACAGAAACACACACTCTCACACACAGAGAAACACACACACTCTCACACACAGAGAAACACACACACTCTCACACACAGAGAAACACACACACACTCTCACACACAGAGAAACACACACACTCTCACACACAGAGAAACACACACACACTCACACAGAGAAACAGACACACACACTCTCACACACAGAGAAACACACACACTCACACACAGAGAAACACACACACACACACTCTCTCACACACAGATAAACACACACACACACTCACACACAGAGAAACACACACACTCTCACACACAGAGAAACACACACACTCACACACAGAGAAACAGACACACACACTCTCACACACAGAGAAACACACACGGACACCGTAGCAACGATGTCAACTTGTAACGCTGAGCCACCACCGCCGCACTGCATCCGCTCATCGCTCTCGTAGAGAGAGGGAACGAGTCGGAGACAGGGGACCACTCAGGGAGAGAGGACGACTCAGAGAGAGAGAGGACGACTCAGAGAGAGAAGGGACGACTCAGAGAGAGAGGACGACTCAGAGAGAGAGGACGACTCAGAGAGAGAGAGGACGACTCAGAGAGAGAGGACGACTCAGAGAGAAGGGACGACTCAGAGAGAGAGGACGACTCAGAGAGAGAGAGGACGACTCAGAGAGAGAGGACGACTCAGAGAGAGAGAGGACGACTCAGAGAGAGAGGACGACTCAGAGAGAGAGGACGACTCAGAGAGAGGACGACTCAGAGAGAGAGAGGACGACTCAGAGAGACGGGACGACTCAGAGAGAGAGGACGACTCAGAGAGAGAGGACGACTCAGAGAGAGAGGACGACTCAGAGAGAGAGAGAGGACGACTCAGAGAGAGAGGACGACTCAGAGAGAGAGGACGACTCAGAGAGAGAGCACGACTCAGAGAGAGAGAGGACGACTCAGAGAGAGAGAGGACGACTCAGAGAGTAGAGAGAGAAACACTCAGAGAGAGAGGACGACTTAGAGAGAGAGGACGACTCAGAGAGAGAGGACGACTCAGGGAGAGAGGGGACGACTCAGAGAGAGAGCACGACTCAGGGAGAGAGGGGACGACTCAGAGAGAGGACGACTCAGAGAGAGAGAGAGGACGACTCAGAGAGAGAGGACGACTCAGAGAGAAAGGATGACTCAGAGAGAGAGAGGACGACTCAGAGAGAGAGAGAGAGGACGACTCAGAGAGAGAGAGGACGACTCAGAGAGAGAGAGAGAGGACGACTCAGAGAGAGAGAGAGAGGACGACTAGGAGGCGCCAGGAGGAAGAACCACAGACGAGGAGCGGGAAGGCAGCAGCAGCAGCAGCCACACGATGGCTGCTCGACCGTCCTCGATATATTTTAAGGCATTCATCGGCCAAATGAACGCGCGGGAGGAAACCGGAGCGCCACGAAGAACACCCACGCGTGTGTGCGTGCGTGCGTGGGTGCGTGGGTGAGTGCGTGGGTGCGTGGGTGCGTGGGTGCGTGGGTGCGTGGGTGCGTGGGTGCGTGGGTGCGTGGGTGCGTGCGTGGGTGCGTGGGTGCGTGCGTGTGTGCGTGCGTGGGTACGTGGGTGTGTGCGTGGGTGGGTGCGTGCGTGGGTGCGTGCGTGGGTGCGTGCGTGGGTGCGAGGGTGCGTGGGTGCGTGCGTGGGTGCGTGCGAGGGGGCAACGTCGCACAGACGGAGCAAACTAGGTTGGGGGCGGCGGTGGGGGACCCTCGTGTCGTGACGCGCGAGGCGGAACCGCTTCCACGCTCCGCCACCAGGCGGCAGCCGCGCCGCACGACGGCGCTCAAAGGGTGGCCGCGTGCCCTTGCGCAGCCGCACATTAGGAGGAGAGCGGCCCGGGGGGGGGGGCGGGGGGGCTGTCGGCTCGTCCCGTTGCGCGGAGCAACGACGGCGAGTGAAGTTCACGCGGGGGAAATTAATCCGGCGACGCGGTGACAAGCGTGAGATGGCCGCGAGGAATGAGCGGGCGGGCGGGCGCGCGTGCTAAGGGGTTAACGAGTGGGTGAATGAGAGAGTGAATGAATGAAAGAACGAGCGAGCGAGGTAATTGATGAGCGAATGAGTTGATGGCAACGAGTGAATGAAGGACGAGTGAATGTGTGACTACCCACGTTCACTCGTGCGTGAATGACTGAATGGGTTTATTAATAAATGAGTCAATACATTAATGATTGAATATGTGAATGAGATAATGAATGATAGAAAGTCTGAAAGAATAAATTACAAGAATCAATGAAAAAGTCAATGCTGAAATCGTGAATCCATGAGTGAATGCATGAATACATGAATGCACAGGTGAATGAGTTTGTGAGTGAATGAGCGAGCAGGCGTGTGTGCGAATACATGGGTTCACGAATGGGTGAATGAGAGAGTAATTAATGAAATAATGGGTGACCGAGGTGATTAATATTCGAATTAGTTGATGACAATGAGTGAATGAATGACAATGAGTGAATGTGTGAATACACGTTCATGAGTTAAATGATAAATTCGTCAACACAATCGTGCATGAATTAATACTTTAATGAGATAATAAATTATAGAATGTCTGAAAGAATGAGGGCACCAATGCTGAAATAGTGAATCCATAAGTGAATGCATGAATGCATTAATGCACGGGTGAATGAGTTTGGTGAATGAATGAGTGAGTGAATGAGTGCTGGTGACAGGCTCACAAATCGGTACATGGACTTCATGGCTGGGTTGGCCTTGGTCATCAAGGAGATGAAAGCGCCCCCACCTTTCTATAGGGGACATGGTGAGACATGGGGGGACACGGGGAGAGACGGTGAAACGCGAGGACATGGGGAGACGGTGAGACGCGGGGTGATGGTGAGACACGGGGAGATGGGGAGACACGCGGAGACGGTGAGACAAGGGGACACGGTGAGACACGGGGACACGGTGAGACACGGGGGGGCGGTGAGACACGGGGAGACACGGTGAGACACGGGGAGACACGGAAAGACACGGGGAGACGGTGAGACACGGGGAGACGGTGAGACACGGGAAGACGGTGAGACAAGGGGAGACGGTGAGACACGGGGAGACGGTGAGACACGGGAAGACGGTGAGACAAGGGGAGACGGTGAGACACGGGGAGACGGTGAGACACGGGAAGACGGTGAGACAAGGGGAGACGGTGAGACACGGGGAGACGGTGAGACACGGGGAGACGGTGAGACACGGAGAGACGGTGTTGATCCCTGTGGGGGTCAAAGGGGGTGATGGTGGTGATTGACACAGAATGTCACCACGAGTGTCACTCACCTTGACAGTGAGGAGCCACTGCTGGTACGACTTGGCACTCCCTGTGACACAAAGACAAATATCCCCCGTATAGCCTTCAACAGAATGTTGGGGCAAGTGCTGTTAGCAAGCACCTATGAAGGCCGGCACGGCACATGAGGGGGTGGGTGGCCAGAACCACGCCCGGCCGCTTTTGTCTCCCCAGTGGCGATGTTTACACACCGCACCAGGTACTCACTTGATGCCGAGTCGACCTAGGGGAGGCCCACGACCGATTCAGATAATCACCACTGGTGTTGGGCGTGAGTGGGAATCGAACCCGGGTTACCGGGTTCGTAGCGCAGCGCACTAACCGCGAACACCGCCGCTCCCCACACGCACACGCACACAAAGACAAAAACACACAAAGACAAAAACACACAAAGACAAAAACACACACGCACCACTGTCTCCCCTCTGCACGCATGGCACGTGGGTGGACTGCTAGGCTTGAGCACAATCGTGGGGGGGGGGGGGGTGGGGGGAGATGGGGGTGGGCCTCAGGCCCTGGAGGGTCGTTGGGCCCCGGAGTGAAGGGGGAGCTCATGGAGGGGGGGTCGGTGGGCACTGCAGGGATCAGTGGGCCCTGGGAGGACAGTGGGGCCTGGGGGTGGGGGCAGTAGGCCCTGGAGAGTCAGCGGGGGGCCCAAAGGGCTGGGGGGGGGGGGGGGGGGGGCGGTGGGCCCTGGAACGGAAGTCGTCACCCTTGGAGTATCCGTCCAGGTTGATCTCTTCCTCAAAGAGGTCGGTGAAGCCCACTCCGGCGTTGAGCAGCTCCAGCCTCCCGTCGATGAACTGGGGACGACACAGGCAAAGATCCCCCATGTAGCCCGCACGTGCACACCGCTCGGGGGCAAGTGCGGGCAGGGAGCTGGCGCCTATGAAGGCCGGCGGGGGGGCAGACGCACGCACGATACACTTCATCCAGCAGTGGATCGACCACGGCTGTTGGTGATACGTAAGATACATACAAAGATAAAAGATCCACCTCCCCCCCCCCCCATATAGCTCACACTGACTGTTGGGACAAGTTGTGTAAAAGCAAAACAACGATTATGTGCGGCACTATGGAACCTCCACTATGGGCCGCCTGAGACTGACTCTGCACTGTGGGCCCTCCACGATAGGCCCTCCGTCATGGGCCCTCCGCCGTGGGCCCTCCACACTGCGTTGGGAGATGCCTGGGAACTCCAACACCCCCGTCGCCCCCCCCCCCCCCTCGGCTCCCCCCTCCTGTGTCCCTCGCAGCCTCCGGCCCAACCCCTGTCAACACCTCGTGAGACCCCCTAGAGACCCACCCCCAGCTAGGGGGTCCCACATGGAATGTACCATGGAGTTCCAAGGTTGAGGGGCGGGGTGTGGTAGGAGAGTGTGAGGCTGTGTTTCCATAGTGTGCAGACGCTCACGATTAAGATGGCGATGCACGTGTGTGTGTGTTGAACTTCTTTCGCACCGTGCGTAGCCGACCGTGCTAATTGGGAGGCGAAGGATAACTGCCGATATTCATGATGATCATGCTGATGAATACGACGTTGATGACGATGGTGAGCAGCTTGCTGATGATCACGTTGATGACGATTTTGATGATGATCAAAACGATTATCACGTTGATGATGGCAATGACGATGATCACGGTGATGCTGACAAGTGCTGAACATAATGCTGATGACGATGATCATCATGATGATATTTGGACTTAATCCCCTTCCCCCCGGTATACGATGGTAGAGTCCACGGGTGACCAGTCGGTCCGTGTCTCTCATCACCCCCTCGGAACACCCCACTCAGGGAGGGGGGGGGCAGAGGGGGGTGGGGGGGACATGACACCTGCTGGGTGGGAGTCTGGCGGTGTCTTCAGGGGCCTGTATTGTCTGTCTCGCTTGCATTGTGCGTGGGTGAGTGTGCGTGGGTGAGTGTGCGTGGTTGAGTGTGCGTGGGTGAGTGTGCGTGGTTGAGTGTGCGTGGGTGAGTGTGCGTGGGTAAGAGAGTGGTTGGCTGGTTGGGTGAGTAGTTTGCTGGTTGGGTGAGTGAGTGGTTGGCTGGGTGAGTGGTTGGCTGGGTGAGTGGTTAGCTGGGTGAGTGGTTAGCTGGGTGATTGATTGGCTGGGTGAGTGGTTGGCTGGGTGAGTGGTTGGCTGGATGAGTGGTTGGCTGGGTGACTGGTTGGCTGGGTGAGTGGCTGGGTGAGTGGTTGGCTGGGTGATTGATTGGCTGGGTGAGTGGTTGGCTGGGTGAGTGGTTGGCTGAGTGAGTGGTTGGCTGGGTGAGTGGTTGGCTGGGTGAGTGGTTGGCTGGGTGAGTGGCTGGGTGAGTGGTTGGCTGGGTGAGTGGTTGGCTGGGTGAGTTGCTGGCTGGGTGAGTTGCTGGGCGAGTGGTTGGCTGGGTGAGTGGCTGGGCGAGTGACTAGCCGAGCGAGCGGCTTGGAGGGCGACTAGCTTGGTAGGCTGACGACACTCCTCACCGTGTCTCCCCTCCCGCCTCTCGTGCGTTTGTCGCAAGGAAGCCAGCAGCGATGACATTCTCTCTCTCTCTCTCCGTCCCTCGCTTTCTCAATCCCTCTCTCTCTCTCCGTCTCTCTCGCTAGCTCTGTCCCCCTCTCTCTCTCAAATCCCTTTCTCTCTCTATGTATATCTCTCTCTCCGTCACCGCAGCTTCTCGCCCTGACTCATCCTCCGCGCAATTTCTACCGAAGAGAAAAAAAACACACGGCAGAATGTCTCACACATTCAGTCATCGGCGTTATCTGCCAACGGGCAACCAACTCCGCACTTTCATCGCGCGAGAATGATAAACAAAATAGGCATCGGTCTTCTCGCTCGCTCTCTGTCCCGCACCCTCCCACCATCTCTCTCACCCACTCTCACCGCTCACTCTATCGCTCCCCTGCCCTCTCTTTCTCCCTCTCTCTCACACTCACCCTCTCTCTCTCTCTCTGTGTGTGCCTCTCTTCCCCCCGTCCCTCTCACTCTTGCCCTCTCTTTCTCTCGACAAAATTAAATTAAACAAGGTGACGTAACCGTTGGCCAGCCTTCAGAGATCACACGCGTACATAAATAATTATATACATGCAAATATACACACGTATTACAAAGCCAAAGATCCCATATATGACCTTAACAGACTACTGGGGCAAGTGCTATTAGCGAGTAGCAGCTATGAAGGCCGGAACGGCGCACGAGAGGGTGGGTGGCCAGCACCACGCGAGTTGGCTGTGTTTACACACCGCACCAGGTACTCATTTGAGGCTGAGTCTACCTAGGGGGAGGCCCATGACCAGTTCAGATAATCATGACCGGTGTTGGTGGCCATGAGTGGGAATCGACCTCGGGTCTCTGCCGGGTTCGTAGAGCAGCATAGCGCTAACTGCTACTACACTACCGCTCCCCACATGCACAGACAAAGATTTCCCGTGTAGCCTTTAACAGACTGTTGGGGCAAGTGCTGTTAGCGAGCACCTATAAAGGCCGGTACGGCACACGAGGGGGTGGGTGGCCAGCACCACGCCCGGCCGCCTTTGTCTCCCCAGTGGTGATGTTTAAACATCGCACCAGGTACTCAATTGAGGCTGAGTCGACCTAGCACCGGTTCAGATAAATATCGTCACTGGGTGTTGACCGTGAGCAGGAATCGAACTCGGGTCGCCGGGCTCCCCAGCACAGATACATACACACGCACGCACACAAGCAGCTGTGCAGAGAGGAACGGGGAAGAGCGAGGGAGGGGTGGGAGAGTCTGGGATGAGTGGAGAGAGGGGAAGATGATCAGGGAAAGATGGGGAAGCAAGTGGGCAGAGTTGGGGAGCAGTTGGGAGAGTTGGGGAGCAGTTGGGAGAGTTTGGGAGAAGTTGGGAGGGTTGGGGAGCAGTTGGGAGAGTTGGGGAGCAGTTGGGAGAGTTGGGGAGGAGTTGGGAGAGTTGGGGAGCAGTTGGGAGAGTTGGCGAGGAGTTGGGAGAGTTGGGGAGGAGTCGGGAGAGTTGGCGAGGAGTTGGGAGAGTTGGGGAGCAGTTGGGAGAGTTGGGGAGCAGTTGGGAGAGTTGGGGAGCAGTTGGGAGAGTTGGGGAGGAGTTGGGAGAGTTGGGGAGCAGTTGGGAGAGTTGGGGAGCAGTTGGGAGAGTTGGGGAGGAGTTGGGAGAGTTGGCGAGGAGTTGGGAGAGTTGGGGAGGAGTCGGGAGAGTTGGGGAGGAGTCGGGAGAGTTGGGGAGGAGTTGGGAGAGTTGGAGAGGAGTTGGGAGAGTTGGGGAGGAGTTGGGAGAGTTGGGGAGAAGTTGGGAGAGTTGGGGAGGAGTTGGGGAGCAGTTGGGAGAGTTGGGGAGCAGTTGGGAGAGTCAGGGAGAGTTGGCGAGGAGTTGGGAGAGTTGGGGAGGAGTTGGGAGAGATGGGGAGGAGTTGGGAGAGTTGGGGAGGAGTTGGGAGAGTTGGGGAGGAGTTGGGGAGGAGTTGGGAGAGTTGGGGAGCAGTTGGGAGAGTTGGCGAGGAGTTGGGAGAGTTGGGGAGGAGTCGGGAGAGTTGGGGAGGAGTTGGGAGAGTTGGGGAGGAGTTGGGGAGGAGTTAGGAGAGTTGGGGAGCAGTTGGGAGAGTTGGGGAGCAGTTGGGAGAGTCAGGGAGGAGTAGCAACATTCTGGGAGAGTGAGGGAGCAGCTGGATGAGTCGGGGAGCAGTTGAGAGAGTGAGGAATGAGTGTGAGAGTGAGGGAGGAGTGAATGGGAGGGGAGTGGGGAGAGTCGGGGAGAAGCCACCTGCGCTCCCCGGGATCCGCGCTGGGGAATGCGCGACACCGCGGCGACTCAGCGACGACTCCGCGAGGCCGCGCGGAGTTTGTTGTGAAACCGGAGACTCCGCCGCATCTGGCGGAGTCTCCGCTCCCACGCAGAGCGAGCAACTCTCACGGGGACAGACGAGCAGAGAGACGCGGGCGGGTGGGGGGGGGATACAAGCGAGGACACGCGGAGTGAGACACGCAGAGAGTCGCGGGCGGGGCGGAGACACGCAAGGACACGCGGGGAGACCCACGGCGAGAGACGTGCGGGGAGAGACACACGGCAAGTCGCGGAGACACGCGGGGGAGGCGTTTGTGGAAACGCGGGGAGACTCAAACCGGAGACCCACAGACTCACACAGAGACATACAGGCTGGTCTTCACGCGTGTTACCTGCTTGAAGAGCTGCAGCTGCGTGGCGTGCTTGAGGAAGGAGCGCACCGAGCTGGACTTGCTCTCCACAAACGCCTCCTCGCTGAACGTGATCGCCTCTCCCTGCAGTGGCACGGCGCGCCGGCACGTCAGTAACCGGGATGGCACGGCGTGTCAGTGCCGTGGTGGCACGGCGTTGTCAGTAACCGGGGTGGCACGGCGTGTCAGTGCCGTGGTGGCACGGCGTTGTCAGTAACCGGGGTGGCACGGCGTGTCAGTGCCGTGGTGGCACGGCGTTGTCAGTAACCGGGGTGGCACGGTCCGTCATCGTGTGACAAGAGCGTCGCCGGTGACACGCGTGTCAGTGTTGTGTGAGTGGCACACCCTGTCGGTGATTTAGTGTCAGCGAGTTCCACACTGCGTCGGCGATGCGCTGTCTCAACATATGAGATGTCCTCAGGGGACGCCCAGGACCAGTTCAAATATTTGCCACTGATGTTGCACCAAAGACAAAGACCCCCCCCCCCCCCCCATACAGCCTTAACACACTGTTGGGCAAGTGCTGTTAGCGAGCACGTGGTGGTTGCGTGGTGTTACGTCGCATGACATCACGTGACGTCGTGTGATGCCGCGTCACGTGCCACTCACCGGCCGGAATCTCAGGGCCTCTCTGTAGGTCCCGAACAGCTGGACTTGGGCCCTCAGGAACGCATGCGCCAGCCCCGTACCCGTTACGGCCGACTGTTTCTTGATGCGCGACTTCAGAGTGGACGCCTGGGACACGGGGGACACGGAGACACGGAGACACGGAGACATGGGGACAGGGGTACACAGGGTCACGGGAAGACGGAGACATGGATACAGGGGGACACGGGGAGACGGAGACACGGAGACACGGAGACATGGGGACAGGGGTACACAGGGTCACGGGAAGACGGAGACATGGATACAGGGGGACACGGGGAGACGGAGACACTGATACACAGAGACATGGGGACAGGGGTACACAGGGTCACGGGAAGACGGAGACATGGATACAGGGGGGCACGGGGAGACGGAGACACTGATACACAGAGACATGGGGACAGGGGTTCACAGGGTCACGGGAAGACGGAGACATGGATACAGGGGGACACGGGGAGACGGAGACATGGATACAGGGGGACACGGGGAGACGGAGACACTGATACACAGAGACATGGGGACAGGGGTACACAGGGTCACGGAAGACGGAGACATGGATACAGGGGGACACGGGGAGACGGAGGACACTGATACACAGAGACATGGGGACAGGGGTTCACAGGGTCACGGGAAGACGGAGACATGGATACAGGGGGACACGGGGAGACGGAGATAAGGAGACACGGGGGCACGGGAACATGGAGGGGCAGGGGGACACGGGGACACGGAGAGAGAGATGCAACGCTGTTCTCTGTACGAGGAACGCGTTGGGCAGTACAGCAAGCAGGCTCGTCTTTTAAAAGCCATCCATGTGGAGCTTTGCGTCCCTCCCGTCCCCACTCTCACCCCCCCAACCCCCCCAACCCCCCCCCCCCGGGTTTTCTCTGGGGTTCTCCAGTTTCCTCCCAAACCCCGCTTATTTATTTTTGCTCACAAGGAGTCGGCCAAACATCCCAATGTAGCGGGACCCCCTCCTGAAAACAAGCCCTGAGACTCTCCGTCGAGGCTTTCCCGGCTAAATAAATATAATTGCTCTTGTTATTATTATTCTTAGGGCTCTACGGTGCTTGGAGATGTTAACTACCTCGCCCGGTATGCAGGAGGTCGCCGTGGGTTCGATCCCGACCCTGATGCCTGCTGCATATTTGGAGTTTGCGTGCGAGTGAACGAAAGAGAGTGAATGAGTGGGTGAGTGAATGAATAAGTGGAGTGAATGAATGAGTGCATTTGTGTGGAGGTGAGCGAATTAAAAGTGCGAGCGAAATATTGAGTGAGTGAATGAAAAAAGTACGAGTGAATCATTCAGTGAGTGAATGTAATGAGCGAGTGAATTGGTGTGGGATTTAGCGGATGAAATCGTGAGTGGAAAAAAATGAGCGAGTGAACGAAAAAAAGAATGAGTGAATGAGCGAGCGCGTGAATGAGCGAGCGAGTGACATGAGCGAGCGATGCTGCTGCGCACGGTTGAGTTGAGTTGATTCCGAGTGACTCGGCGAGAAACTCAAGTGACCAGGACGAGTCCTCGCTTTGCGAGTACGAGTGACCACCAGGAAGTTCATACTCGGTGCGATTCACCTGGTAAGTTTTATAAAGTTGTAATTTAGTTTATTTTGTGTATGCGTTTAAAGTGATTTGTTTACCTTTCTTAATGCTTTGCACTCCTCTCGTGTTTTTTGTACTGTGTTTGTTGTTGTTGTTGTTGGAGCGTTCTGACCCCGTGCCCCCCTAACTGGACGTGTGTGACAAAAAAGAGCTTAAAAACTCATCGGATTACTAAACTATAAATAAATACATATTATCATTCTGGCTGCTGCTGATGGTGCTCCTGCTGTACAGCGCCAAGTGAGTAATGCACACATGCTGATGCTGATGATGCTGATGACGCTATTGTTGTTTTTGTACGAATCCCGAGGGAAATCTCTCACATCCCTCCCCCACTCCCTCCCTTCCACCCCCCTAGTAAACTGAACCCCTTCAGGAATGGGGAATCAAATCACAACAACAACAACATTGTGAGCATCAGCAACAGCATCAGCAGCAGCATCAGCAGCAACATCAACGACAACAGTAGTATCAGTAACAGTAGCATCAGCACTAGCAGCTACAGCAGTAGCATCAGCAGCAGCAACAGCAGTAGTATCAGCAGCATCAGGAGCAGCAACAGCGGTAGCACCAGCAACAGCAGTAGCATCCACAACAGCATCAGCAGCAGCATCAGCAGCAGTATCAGCATCAGCAGCAACATCAGCGACAACAGCAGTATCAGTAACAGTAGCATCAGCAGCATCAGCAGTAGCATCAGTAGCAGCAACAGAAGTAGCATCAGCAACAGAAATAGCATCCGCAACAGCAGTAGTATCAGTAACAGTAGCAGCAGCAGTAGCATCAGCACCGCACTCAAAGCAGTGGGTGCAGTAAGTACAAACTCTCATGGTGAGGGGTCAGGTCAGGGGTCAAGTGAGTGTGGTGAGCGTGCTGAGTCTGTAACGCTGTGAGTGTGGAGAGTGGTGCTGAGTGTAGAGGTGAGTGTGGTGCTGAGTGTAGAGGTGAGTGTGGTGGTGAGTGTGGCAGTGAGTCTGGTGAGTGTGGTGGTGAGTGTTGTAGTGAGTGTGGCGTTGAGTGTGGTGGTGAGTGGTGGTAGTGAGTGTGATGGTGAGTGCGGTGGTGAATGTGAAGGTGAGTGATGGTGGTGAGTGTGGCGGTTTGTGTGGAGGTGAGTGGTGGTAGGTATTGTGGTGAGTGTGGAGGTGAGTGTGGTGGTGAGTATGGTAGTGTGTGTGGCGGTGAGTGTGATGGTGAGTGCGGTGGTGAATGTGAAGGTGAGTGATGGTGGTGAGTGTGGCGGTTTGTGTGGAGGTGAGTGGTGGTAAGTATTGTGGTGAGTGGTGGTAAGTATTGTGGTGAGTGTGGCGGTGAGTGGTGGTGAGGTACCAGGTCGTTGGGGAGAGACAGGAGGTCATTGAACGGAGTCTCCAACTGATTTGCATCGACGTTCAACACCACGGCCTCTTCCAGGCCGAGCGCACGCACACTCTGCACACAGAAAGACAAAGGTCCCCCGTGTAGTCCACACAGACTGTTGGGGCAAGTGCTGTTAGCGAGCTACACCTATGAAGGTTGGCACGGCACACGAGGGGGTGGGTGGCCAGCACAACGCCCGGCCGCCTTTGTCTCCCTTGTGGTGATGTTTAAACACCGCACCAGGTACTCACTTGAGGCTAAGTCGACCAAGGGGAGGCTCAGGACCGATTCAGATAATCGTCACTGGCGTTAGCCGTGTGCAGGAATCGAACTCAGATTGCCGAGTTCGTAGCGCGGCACGCTAACCACACCGCTGCCGCTCCCCACACGTCTAGAGATACACACACAGGTAGACACACACTCACAGGTAGACACACACACACAGGTAGACACACACTCACAGGTAGACACACACACACAGGTAGACACACACACACAGGTAGACACACACACACACACATGTAGACACACACACACACTCATGTAGACCCACACACACACTCATGTAGACCCACACACACACTCATGTAGACACACACACAGGTAGACACACACACAGGTAGACACACACACACAGGTAGACACACACACACACACACAGGTAGATACACACACACACACTCATGTAGACACACACACACTCATGTAGACACACACACAGGCAGACACACACACACACACATGTAGACACACACAGGTAGACGCACACAGGTACACGCGTACATGAACAATGTACCTCCATCAGTGTGGAATGAACACCTATGAGGTACGGCATGGGAGCCCTGCACACACACACACACAGGTGATTGAGTGAGTGTGTACTCACAGGTGAGTGCGTGTACTCAAGATGAGTGAGCAAGTGTGTGAGTGAATGTATACGTAGGTGAGTAAGTGGATGAGTGAGTGAGTGAGTGGATGAATGAGTGGGTTAGTGAGTGAGTGGGTGAGGGAGTGAGTGGGTGAGGGAGTGAGTGGGTGGGTGAGTGAGAGAGTGCGTGAGCGAGTGAGCGGATGAGTGGATGAGTGAGCGAGTGAGTGGGTGAGTGAGTGAGTGAGCGACTGGGTGAGCGAGTGAGTGGGTGAGCGAGCAAGCGAGCGACTGGGTGAGCGAGTGAGTGGGTGAGGGAGTGAGTGGGTGGGTGAGTGAGAGGGTGCGTGAGCGAGTGAGCGGATGAGTGGATGAGTGGAGCGAGTGAGTGGGTGAGTAAGTGAGCGACTGGGTGAGCGAGATGAGTGGGTGAGCGAGCAAGCGAGCGACTGGGTGAGCGACGCGACTGGGTGAGCGAGTGAGCGGGTGAGCGAGCGAGTGGGTGAGCGTGGACTCACCCGCAGTAGTCCAGTAGGTGTGGAGGCAGCACGGGGATGAACACATGCTGCCAGTAGGTGGGTAGAGCAGCGCGGCAGCCCGTGCACGCACGCCGTGAGCTGTAGGTCGCCGCCATCGCCACCACCATCATCAGCATCATCACCACCATCATCATCAGCATCATCACCACCACCATCATCAGCATCATCACCACCACCATCATCAGCATCATCACCACCACCATCATCAGCATCATCACCACCACCATCATCAGCATCATCACCACCATCATCACCACCACCACCATCATCAGCATCATCAGCATCAACAACAACATCAGCATCAACAACAACAGCATCATCATCAGCATCATCAGCATCAACAACAACATCAGCATCAACAACAACAGCATCATCATCATCAGCAGCATCAACAACACCATCATCGATACTGTCTACATCAGTATCATCACCATCAACACCTTCATAAACATCAATACCATCAACAGCAGGATCATCATCACCATCATAAAAAAATCATTATCACCTCTAACATCTAATTATCGCTATCTAGTGACCACCATCATTATCTAATCATCATCATCATGTATTAGCTTTTTACAGACTGTCGGGGCAAGTGCTGTTAGCGAGTAGCAGCGCCTATGAAGGCCGGCACGGCAAACGAGGGGGTGGGTGGCCAACACCACGCCCGGCCGTCTTTGTCTCCCCGGTGTCGATGCTTGCACACCGCACAAGATGCTAATTTGAGGCCGAGTCGACTCTAGGGGAGGAGGCCCAGGACCCGGTTCAGACAATCGGCACCGGTGTTGGTGGTGGCCGTGAGCGGGAATCGAACAGCCCGGGGCACCGCCGGCCTTCGTGGCGACTGGCTCGCCGAGACGGCCGGCGGGCCCCGTTCGCTCCCCCCCCCCCCCCCCCCCCCCCCCCCCACCAAACATCACCACCGCTAAACCCCCCCCACCCACCCCATCAATCACCACCATCATCATCATATACAGCACCAACCCAACGGCCCTCGCACCACTGAACCCATCAGTCAGGGGATCCATAGCCCCGCCGCTCCCCACCTTCAGGGGGAGGAGAGGTGGGGGGGTCGAGAAGAGGTGGGGGGGGGCGAGGAAAAGTGGGGGGGGGGGCGAAGAGAGGGGGGGCGAGGAGATGTGGGGGTGGAAGAGAGGGGGGGCGAGGAGAGAGGGGGGGGGCGAGGAGATGTGGGGGTGGAGGAGAGGGGGGGTGGAGGAGGGGGGGGGGCGAGGAGATGTGGGGGTGGAGGAGATGTGGGGGTGGAGGAGAGGGGGGGGCGAGTAGAGGGGGTGGGGCGAGGAGATGTGGGGGTGGAGGGTTCCTTCGTGCACCCCCCTCTCTCTCCCCCCCCCCACACCTCCCCCTGGCCACGCACCTGTTTCCCATTGTTGGCCCGTGAGCATGGATGGTGGTGGTGGTGGTGGCGGCGCTTTGAGGAGGAACGTGGTCAGAGAAAATCCTCGGAAAGCTCCTCACCCCCAACCCCGCCACCAGCACCACCACCTCTCTCTCATTCACCCATCTCATCTCAATGCAAGATAGAGGCAACACTCAAACGTAGGTAGACACATACTCGCACACGCGCGTGTGCCAGCTCGCCCTTAGGTTACTCGCACATCTGCGGTTGTTCAGCCCTGAGCCAGCGGTGGAAATTCACAATGCTTTTGTTTGGGGGGGGGGGGAGAGGAGTTTATCCGTAGGGTGAAGATTGTTGACTTCCCCACAAATTGGTACTCATTCTATTAACCCCCCACCCCCCCCCCCCCCCCCGTAGGGATGATAGGCTGAGACAAACCCCCAACCAGGATGCTAACTCGCAAACCCCCTTCAGATGGAGAACCGCTCACTCGACCGCTGAGCCACCAAAGACAAAGATCCCCCGTGTAGCCTTTAACAGGCTGTTGGGCAAGTGCTGTTATCGAGCACCTATGAAGGCTGGCACGGCACACGAGGGGGTGGGTGGCCAGCACCACGCCGGGCGGCATACATACAGATATATACACATACACTGATAAACTACACAGCTACTCACACGCACACGTACGGATACAGAGACAAAGATCCCCCGTAGAGCCTTTAAAAGCCAGTCGTGGCAAGTGCTGTTAGCGAGCACCTATGAAGGTCAACAGGGGCCACATGAAGGTGTGGGTGGCCATCACCAAGCCCGGGCACCTTTGTCTCCCCAATACTGATGTGTAATGACGAATGGCTGCACTAATCACACACACAATCACACAAACATCCGCAAAGCTACATTGTCCAGTGTGTTCATGTGCGCATATGTACATGCATATGTGCGATGTGTGTGTATATTTACGTGTGTGTATATTTACGTGTGTGTGTATATTTATGTGTATGTGTGTATATATTTGTGTATGTGTTATATTTATGTGTATGTGTAGCAGAGGTCTCACTCCGAATCAGTCGAGCGGCAATATTATTTTCATCGGTTGCGTAACGCTGTGTGGAAGCTACCTGGTCTGTCGCTCCGCACTAAGCTTCAGGTCTTCTCGGCCACGATCATTCCCTCCCTTCTCTACGCTTGCGAAACGTGGACTCCCTTAATGGAACATATTCGCCGGTTAGAAACATTTAGGCTAGCCTGCCTACGATCCATCCTGGGTTAACCAGGCTGGATTGTGTGAGGAGCTCACAAATCCTTGAAAGATCTGGGCAAGGTCCCATCGGTGAGCTCCTCCGGCAGGCAAGGCTGCGTTGGCTGGGTAATGTAGCCCACATGCCCAGCCACCGCATGCCGAAAACAGCTTTTGTTCGGCCGGATCGAGGGGGCCTAAACGGGCGCGGCACGGGCTAGAGAAGAGATGGAGTGATGTGGTACAGGAGGACGTGGAGCTGAGTGGACTTGCCGATGACTGGTACCAGCGGTGTCAAGATCGGCCTCTGTGGAGGAGGCTCGTGAAGGACGCTACTGGGCAGTTGGAGGCAGTCGCCCTCCAACAACAACGGAGGGTGGAGGAGCGACGCTCCCAACAACGAGCGGAGCGCCGGGTGGCTAAAGCACAGCAGGTTGGCACAGTAGGGGGCACAGGTGGTGCATCAGCCAGTCATCTCAGTCAGTCGACCCGTGGCACCTGGGTCTGCCCCGTGACCTCCTGCCAGCGGGCGTTCGACACTTCACGTGGCCTCAAGGTGCACATGGCCTGGCACAAGCGTCGTGGTGACGTCACCGCTATTTAGTGGCGAATGGCGGTTGTTGTTGTGTGTGTATGTGTGTGTGTATATTTACGTGGATGTGTGTGTGTATATTTACGTGTGTATATTTACGTGTATGTGCGTGTGTATATTTATGTGTATGTGTATATTTACGTGTATGTGCATCAGTGTTTATGTGAGGAGTGGAAGCCCAGCGGTTAGCACACTGCGCTACGAACCCGGCGACCCGAATTCGATTCCCGCTCACGGCCACCACCAACACCAGTTAGGACTATCTGAACTGGTCCTGGGCCTCCACTAGGTCAACTCGGCCTTAAATGAGCACCCGGTGGGGTGTGTAGTAAACATCGCCACTGGGGAGACAAAGGCGGTCGGGCGTGGTGCTGGCCACCCATTCCCCCGCGTGCCATGCCGACCTTCATAGGTGCTGCTCACGAACAGCACTTGGCCCAACAGTGTGTTAAGGCTATATGGGGGACCTTTGCCTTTACACACATATATATCATGGTGTGTGACTGTGTGTGTACACAAACACACGCGCACGCACACACTGGTTACACGTGTAAGTAACGCTCACACTGAAAAGATCTTAAAATATGTAAAACAGCCAATTATTTTAAATAATTAAATAATACCGACCGCAGACAGTTTCAGTTCCTCCTCCTCCTCCACACCCCCCATCCCCCCTCCCCCTCATCCTACACTCCCGTAACTCACTCCCTACCCCCTCCCCCTTCAATCCATTGCCCACTCCCTATATGACTCCCACCTCCAATCCCTCCCTCCAATCCCTCCCTCCCACCTCTTCCCTCCTTCCAATCCCCTCCCTCCAATCCCTCCCTCCAATCCCTCCCTATCTCCAATCCCTCCCACCAATCCCTCCCTCCAATCCCTCACTACCTCCAATCCCTCCCTATCTCCAATCCCTCCCTCCAATCCCTCCCTCCCTCCAATCCCTCCCTGCCTACAATCCCCTCCCTCCCATCTCTCCCTCCAATCCCTCCAATCTCAAATCCCTCCCCTCCAATCCCTCCCTCCAATCCCTCCAATCCCTCCCTCCCTCCAATCCCTCCCTCCAATCCCTCCCTCCCTCCCTGCCTACAATCCCTCCCTCCCATCTCTCCCTCCAATCCCTCCCAGCTCAAATCCGTCCCTCCCTCCAATCCCTCCCTCCCTCCAATCCCTCCCACCAATCCCTCCCTCCCTCCAATCCCTCCCTGCCTACAATCCCTCCCTCCCATCTCTCCCTCCAATCCCTCCCATCTCAAATCCCTCCCTCCAATCCCTCCCTACCTTCCACCTCTTCCCTCCTTCCAATCCCTCCCTACCTCCAATCCCTCCTTTCCACCAAATCCTTCAAATCCCTCCCTTCCCCCCCCCCCAACTCCCACCTCCTCCCTCCTCCCCCCCCCCCCGCCGCCCCCCGTATCCCAGCTATGCTGCTGTGAAGGGGAGGTATTGAGATGAAGGTGGGAGAGGTGCAGAGGGGAGGGGGTAGAGGGGAGGGGGTAGAGGGGGGGGGGGCTGAGGGTGGGGAGGGTGTCGATGTTCACTTGAAGCTGCTGCTGTGGATGGTGGTGGTGATGGCAGTGATGGGGGACGATGGTGATGATGGTGGTTATAGAGTTGGTGTTGGTGATGGGGGTGATGTTGTAGTGGAGGTGAGTGAAGGGTCTGCAGATGGTGATGGTGGTGCTGATCGTGATGGGGGTGATGGTGGTGTTGGGGGTGATGTTGGTGATGGTGGTGAATGAAGGGTCTGGTCTGCAGGTGGCGGTGGTGATGTTGGTGATGGGGGTGAGTGAGGGGTCTGCAGATGGTGATGGGGGTCGTGAGTGAAGGGTCTGCAGGTGGTGATGGTGGTGATGTTTTTGATGGTGGTGTTAATGTTGTTGATGGTGGTGATGGGGGTGATGGGTGGCATGAGTGAAGGGTCTGCAGGTGGCACAGCTCCTCCAAGGCAATAACAACTACAAAGGCAGAGCAAAGCTTTGTGTCTCTGAGAGAGAGAGAGCGCGGGGAGAGAGTGGGGTAGAGTGGGGGAGAGTGGGGGAAAGATACAGGGAGAGAGCAGTGGGAGAAAGCGGGGGGGGGGGGATGATGAGCAGGGGAGAGAGTGAGGGAGAGCGGGGGAGAGTGGGGGAGAAGGGGGGGGATAAGAGAGTGTGGAAGGGAGGGGAGACTGAAGAGGGAGATTCAGACGGCGGTGAGAATTGCAGAGAGAGAGAGAGCTACAGACAGAGGTGAGGGTAGAGAGAGATGGGTGGGGAGAGGTGGAGTGACAGGTGAGGGGAGTGAGGCGGAGGTGAGAGGCGAGAGAGAAAGCACAGGGGAAGAAGCTGGAGATATACGAGAGATGATTGAGAGAAAGAGAGAGACACGGGTTATAGGGAATCAAGACACCGAGTGTGAGAGAGAGGAGCGAGGAGAGATGAGATTAGAGACGTGGGCAAGAGATAGCGAGAGAGATCATCAGAGAGAGATTATAATCAGCGAAAAACGAGCGAGATGGAATTAAGACGCGTACATACACACACATATATATAATGCCCCGGCGATGGTAATAATAATAATACGAGTACAAGGAAGAGGAACAGTGATAATAGCAGCAGCAGGAGCAGCAGTAGCAGCAGCAGCGAGCAGGACAATGCCCTCCCATAGACATCAAAGCAAAATGCGGCCTCGTGTCTCCCTTAATTGGGGCCCAAGGCGCATAGAGACCAATTAGTGGGGAGACGAGGAGTGGGGGGTGGGGTGGTTGGGAGGGGTCAAGGGGGGAGCCGGCTTCCCTATCCCCCCCCCCACCATGGAACCACCACCCCACACACAACCACAATACTCACACGACTGTCAAACGCACCTGGTTGCTATGAAACACACACACACACACCTACGCGCGCACAAACACACTCGCTCACACACAGCTGGTTGTTGAGCATTACAGATGGTCTCACACACACACTTGGACGCACACCTGCTCTCTTTCACACACATACACGTTTTGGACACGCAGACCTGCTCGCACACGCACCTGGACACACACACACACCTGGACACACACCACACACCTGGACACACATGCCTGTACACGTGCCTGCTCACACACATACACACCTGTAAACACCTGCTCACACACACACACACACACCTGGACACACATGCCTGGACACGTGCCTGCTCACACACATACACACCTGTAAACACCTGCTCACACACACACCTGAAGACACACACACCCCCCTGGACACACATGCTTGAACACACACCCACCTGGACACACACAGACCTGCACACCTGGATACACACACTTGGACATGGATACACCTGCTCACACACACAACTGGACACATAGAAAACAAAGACAAAGATCCCCCGTATAGACTAGTGGGGCAAGTGCTGTTAGCGAGCACCTACGAAGGCCGGCACGGCACATGAGGGGGTGGGGTGGCCAGCACCACGCCCGGCCGCCTTTGTCTCCCAAGTGGAAATGGTTTTACACATCGGACTAGGTGCTCAATTGAGGCTGAGTCGACCTAGGGGAGGCCCAGGAGTGGTTCAGATAACCGTCACTGGTGGTGGCCGTGAGCGGGAATCGAACTCGGAGTCGCTGGGTTTCGTAGCGCAGCGTAGCGCTAACCGCTACACTGTTAGCGAGCAAACACCTCCAGTCACACACACACACACAGACCTGGAGCCACGCACACACCTGTGCCGTCTCTCACCTCTCCAACCTTCCCCCCACCTCCCTCCCCTCCCTCCCCTCCGTGACTCAATCCCCAGGGGAGAAGGCAGAAGCAGCACGCGTATCCATAGCGACCAGGTGAGTCCTTAACGAGGGAGGGGGAGGGAGAGGTGGGGGCAGGGGAGGGGGGGATCTTGGGGGGTAGGGGGCTGGGGAGGGTATACAGGAGGTCGTGGGTTCGATCCCGACGCCTGCTGTATATTTGGAGTTTGCGTATCTCTCTCTCTCTCTCATCATCATCACGGTGGCTAGGAAGATGTTAACTACCTTCGCCTGGTATGCAGGAGGTCGTGAGTTCGATCCCGACCCTGACGCCTGCTGTATATTTGGAGTTTGCGTATCTCTCTCTCTCATCTCATCATCATCACGGTGGCTAGGATATGTTAACGACCTCGCCTGGTATGCAGGAGGTCGTGAGTTCGATCCCGACCCTGACGCCTGCTGTATATTTGGAGTTTGCGTGTATCCTCTCTCTCATGGTCGTTGGATTTTTCTTCGGGGCCTCCGGCCTTTCCCCCCCCCCACATTTAGAATGAAGGTGACGCATTGAGAGTATTTGGCTGCAATTAATTTCCACGTGATGATGGTGATGATGATGATGATAGCCCACTTCGTTGAGCTATCAATTTCTGATTGCCAGGTCGCTTCTGACAAAGAGCTGCTCAGTGGGGCCTTAACCTGGTAAAGTAAAAAATAGTTTTAGTTCTAACGCGGGGGGGGGGCGGGGGTATCTGCAGCAGCTCCGTCGTGTTTACTCCAAACCTCCGGCACACTGATCCAGTGACATCGCAACTCAGCGACCGCTTGACCTTGTAACCCGTAACCCAGTCACCCCTTAACCCAGAAACTCTGTAAGCCAGTGACAGTCCATCCATTAGGCCTGTATCCGAGTGGTCTCGTCGCTCTGTCACCGAGTAAGCCTGTACAACCTGTGAGCCCGGCGATCTCTGGCACACTGACCGTGACCCAGCGACCTCTGTCTCGTAACCTGTGACCCCGTGACCCTGTAACCTGACGACCCAGTAAAAGCGTCACTCCGATGGCCTTGTAACCCAGTGATCTTGTCATTCGAAAACTGTAAACTAAACTCGAAAACCATTTTTTTTCCAGGTAAAGTCCACTGACCTATTAGCTTCCTTATTAAGTGACCTTGGCCATAAATGATAGCTCAACGAAGTGGCTTATGATGTGGAAATGTATCGCAGCCCCAACACTGAAACATCTAGTGAGTGACCCTTGTGACCCAGTGATCTTGTAACCCGGTAAAAGTGTCACTCCAATAACCCTGTAACCCAGTGATCTTGAAACTCGGTAACCCATGACCTATTGACCTGGTACCCCCGTGCCCCAGTGACTATGTGGCTCAGTGTCCCCATGAACCAGTGACCCCATGCCCTAGTGCCTCACTGTCCCCGTGAACCGGTGATCCATTGACTGTGTGACCCCGTGCCCTAGTGACCCAGTGACTCTGTGACCCGGTGCCCCGTGTGACCCAGTAACCGTGGCCCGGGTCCCCATGACCCAATGCCCCGATGATCTGGTGCCCCAGTGACCCATTGACTGTGTGACCCCGTGTCCTAGTGCCTCGCTGTCCCTGTGAACCGGTGACCCATTGACTGTGTGATCCCGTGTTCCTAGTGACCCCGGTGACTGTGACCCAGTGACCCGGTAACTGTGGCCCGGTGTCCCCATGACCCAATGCCCCGATTACCTGGTGCCCCAGTGACCCATTGACTGTGTGACCCCATGCCCTAGTGACCCATTGATTCCGTGACCCGGTGCCCCGGTACCCCCGCGGCCCTACCGTGCTGAGCTTGTTGGAGGTGACGATGATGCGGCGCTCCCACAGCAGGCTGGCGTAGAGGTGCACCATGCTGAGCGGGTCCACGGCCACCAGGAACTCCGTCAGGTTCCTCTGTGGAGACACGCAACCACAACGTTCCCCGCAGCGTCACGTCGCCACAACGTCGCCGCAACGTAACCACTTCACCACAACACCGCGTCGCCACAACGTCATCAACACAGCGCCACGATACGGCCACCTCCACAAGGCACTCCCGACGGGTTCCCTCTGTGGTGAGCAAGGTTTGACGAGTGTGGTCAGCGCGGTGAGCGTGGCGAGCGTGGTGCGCCGAAGTGCGGTGAGTGCGGTGAGGATGGCAGGCGTGGTGAGCGCGGGTAAGGGGCGGTGAGCTTGGCGAGTGGTGAGCGTGGTGAGGAGTTCAGCTGCTCACACTCTCAGGAATGCTGGGTAGATGCCTGCAGTCGGGAGCTATGAAGTAGGCATGCTGCAACGACAGACAGCAGCGTCATCAGAAACATCATCATCAAGATCACTGACGTTGTCAACATCATCATCAGCAACATCATCATCAGGAACATCAAAAACCATCATCGTCATCATCAGCACCAGCATTACTGACATTGTCAACTGCTACATCATCATCATCAGCAATAGCAGCAGCAGCATCATCACCAGCAGCTTCAGGATCACTGACATTGTAAACAGCAACATCATCAGGAACATTAAAATCATCATCAGGAACATCAACATCATCATCGCCATCATCAGCATGAGCAATAGCAGCAGCATCACTAACATTGTCAAAAGCAACATCATCAGCAACAACATCATCAGGAACATGAACGGCATCAGCAACATCATCATCAGGAACATGAACGGCATCAGCAGCATTATCAGAAGCGTCAACGGCAGTCATCAGCAGCCACATCACTGCCATGTCCTCCGAATCGCTCCGTAATCCCTAAAGCACGCTGGGTAATCCCAAGTGCATGCTGGGTAATCCATGCTGCATGCTGGGGAATGCTTAATGCATGCTGGGAAAAGCCCTGGTGCATGCTGGGTAGCGATGTGTGCGTGTGATAGTGGGGAGCGGCGGCATAGTGGTTAGCGCACCGCGTTACAAATCCAGCGGGCCATGTTCAATTCCCACTCACGGCCAATATATATGAACTGGTTCGGTACCTCCCCTAGGTCGACTCGGCCTTAAATGAGTACCTGCTTGCGGTGGGGAGACAAAGGTGGTCGGGCTTGATGCTGGCCACCCACCCCCTCGTGTGCCGTGCCGGCCTTCATAGGTGCACGCTATCAGCGCTTGCCCCAACAGTCTGTTAAGACTACCAGGGGGTTCTTTGTGTGAGTGTGAGAGATGTGTGTGTGTGTGCATGAATGAGACATGCTCGGAGCAGAATGAGGCATGCTGAGTAGAGTGAGGCATGCTGGGTAGAGTAGAGTGAAGCATGCTGGGTAAAGTAGAGTGAGGCATGCTGGGTAAAGTAGAGTGATGCATGCTGGGTAGAGTAAGGTGTGATGGGTAGAGTGAGGCATGCTGGGCAGAGCAGAGTGAGCCGTGCTGGGCATAGTGAGGCATGGTGGGTAGTGAGGCATGCTGGGTAGAGCAGAGTGAGCCGTACTGGGCATAGTGAGGCATGGTGGGCAGAGTGCGGCATGCTTGGTAGAGCAGAGTGAGCCATGCTGGGTAGTGTGAGGCATGCTGGGTAGAGTAAAGCATGCTTGTTAGAGCAGAGTGAGCCATGCTGGGTAGTGGGAGGCATGGTAGGTAGAGTGAGCATGCTGGGTAGGGTAGAGCAAGGCATGCTGGGTAGAGTGAGGCATGCTGGGTAGAGTGAGGCATGCTGGGTAGAGTGAGGCATGCTGGGTAGAGTAAGGCATGCTGGGTAGAGTGAGGCATGCTGGGTAGAGTGAGGCATGCTGGGTAGAGTGAGGCATGCTGGGTAGAGTGAGGCATGCTGGGTAGAGTGAGGCATGCTGGGTAGAGTGAGACATGCTGGCTACCCACCACAGTGAGGTGCACGGTGGATTCCGGCTCTGGAACTGGGCGCTTGTGGAGAGACTCGAGGAGTTCTTGGGAGTCGCTCTCCTGGTTCGCGACACATGACACTGTGGTGTGAGTATGGTGCAGTAGTGTAGTGCAGTAGTGTGGTGCAGTGCAGTGCAGTCTTACACCGTCGTGTGAGTGTGGTGTAGTCGTGAGGGTGCGGTGAAGTACGGGTGTCGGTGCGGTGCCGGTGCGGTGGTGCAACTTGCATTGCCCTTGGTGCTGTACTCTGCCAGGAGATTGAGCAGCTTGTAAAACACCCTCAAACCAGGGCAGGTAGCTGCGGAAGAGAGCACACGACCTTCCGCTCACCGCTCGGCACTCACCACTCGCAATCAAACGCACATCACGCACGAGGAGGCTCGGAGGTCAGAGACGCCGAGAGCCTTGGGTTCAGCCCCAACCACAGTGGCGACACTGGGATCTCAGGTCTAGTGAGTTGGTGGTCTCAGCTAATGAATTACATCGAGACACAGACTCGCATAGAGACGAACTGACTCACATAGAGACCCATAGACTGACACAGAGAGCCTTAGACTCACACAGAGATTCATAGACTTCCATAGAGACCCACAGACTTACATAGAGACCCATACACTCACAAAGAGACCCACAAACTGACACAGAGACCCTTAGACTCACACAGAGATCCACCGACTCCCATAGAGACCCACAGACTTACATAGAGACCCATACACTCACAAAGAGACCCACAGACTGACACAGAGACCCTTAGACTCACACAGAGATCAATAGACTCCCATAGAGACCCACAGACTTACATAGAGACCCATACACTCACAAAAAGACCCATAGACTGACACAGAGACCCTTAGACTCACACAGAGATCCATAGACTCACAAAGAGACCCACAGACTTACATAGAGACCCATCGACTCACACAGATGCGCAGACTCACGTGGCTATTTACACTCACGTGTGTGTACATGTGTAAATACACAAGCAACAAAGACAAAGACCCCCCGTATAGCCTTAGCAGACTGAAGGGGCAAGGGTACACGAGGGGGCGGATGGCCAGTACCACGCCCAGCCGCCTGTGTCTACACGTGTGTACGTTTGTGTGTACACGTGTCATGGCAATGAACCCGGCAGGCCGAGTTCGATTCCAGTGGCGATAATCTAAACTGGTCCTGGGCTTCACCGAGGTCGACTCAGCCTCAAATGGAGAGACAAAGGCGGCCGGACGTGGTGCTGACCACCCACCCCCTCGTGTGCCGTGCCGGCCTTCATAGGTGCTCGCTAACAGCACCCGCCCCAACATTCTGTTAAGGCTATACGGGGGATCTTTGTATTTTGTACACGTCTGTGTGTGTGTGTGTTATTTGAATGTGTAACATTCGTAAGGTGTGATGCATTCACAGCCAAGGCCCCCACACCCGCCCCCACCACCTCCTCCTCCTCCCCCACTCATTTTTTCTCTTAACGCATCGCGCATTCATCACCGCGAGAGAGAAAATAAAGGAATTAAAAATAACGAGCGCAGAGCAGGGGCCGCGTGCGTGCGTGTGTCCGTGCGTGTGTCCGTGTGAGTGACTGTGCGTGTGTCCGTGTGAGTGACTGTGCGTGTGTCCGTGCGTGTGTCCGTGTGAGTGACTGTGCGTGTGTCCGTGCGTGTGTCCGTGTGAGTGACTGTGCGTGTGTCCGTGCGTGTGTCCGTGCGTGTGTCCGTGTGAGTGACTGTGCGTGTGTCCGTGCGTGTGTCCGTGTGAGTGACTGTGCGTGTGTCCGTGCGTGTGTCCGTGCGTGTGTCCGTGTGAGTGACTGTGCGTGTGTCCGTGCGTGTGTCCGTGCGTGTGTCCGTGTGAGTGACTGTGCGTGTGTCCGTGCGTGTGTCCGTGCGTGTGTCCGTGTGAGTGACTGTGCGTGTGTCCGTGCGTGTGTCCGTGTGAGTGACTGTGCGTTTGTCCGTGCGTGTGTCCGTGCGTGTGTCCGTGTGAGTGACTGTGCGTGTGTCCGTGCGTGTGTCCGTGCGTGTGTCCGTGTGAGTGACTGTGCGTGTGTCCGTGCGTGTGTCCGTGTGAGTGACTGTGCGTGTGTCCGTGCGTGTGTCCGTGCGTGTGTCCGTGTGAGTGACTGTGCGTGTGTCCGTGCGTGTGTCCGTGCGTGTGTCCGTGTGAGTGACTGTGCGAGCGGTGGCCCCTGCGGTTGACACGCCACGCTACGAACCCCCGGTGACCCGAGTTCGATTTCCCCGCTCACGGCCACCAACAGTCGTGACGATTATCCGAACCGGTCCTGGGCCTCCCCTAGGTCGGCTCAGCCTCAAAAGAGTACCTGGTTGCGGTGTGTAAACATCGTCACTGGGGATGCAAAGGCGCCCGGGTGTGCTGCTGGCCGCCCACCCCCTCGTGTGCCATGCCGGCCTTCGAAGGTGCTCGCTAACAGCGCTTGCCCCAACGCAGTCTGTTAAAGGCCTACACGGGGGATCTTTTTCTGTGTGTATCTGTGTGCGCGCATTTCTCTGTGCGTAATTGCGTGCGTGCGTCTGTGTTTGTGTATCTGCGTGCGCACGTGCCTGTGTGTATATAGTCTGTACGCGCGTGTATCTGTGTGTGTGTGTGTATAGTCTGTGCGTGTATCAGGCTGTGAGTGTCTCAAGGCTGCCACTGGGGTTAATGGCAGCACCAGGGTCATGGCTACTGTGAGGATGGATGAGGGTCAGTGGTCAAACAGGGCCGGGATCTGTGTGTGGGTGAGTAGGTGCGTGTGTAGGTGCACGTGTGTAGGTGCGTGTGTGTGTGTGCGTGTGTGTGGGGTGTAAGTGCATGTGTGGGGTGTGTGGGTTTGTGTGCGTGTGTGCGTGTGTACGTGTGAGTGAGTGTCTGAGCTGGGTACTCACACTTGAGTACCTACTGGGGGAGACAAAGGCAACTGGGCCTGGTGCTGGCCACCGACCCCCTTCACGTGCCGTTCCGGCTTTCATAGCTGCTGCCCGCTAACAGCACTTGCCCCAGCAGTCTGTTACAGGCTATACGGGGGCTCTTTGTCTTTGTGGGGGTGTTTGGGTGTGTCTAGGGCGTGTGTGTGGGTCTGCATGTGGTGTGTGTGTTATAGTTGAGAGTGGTGGCGCAGCGGTTAGCGCACTGTGCGACGAACCCAGTGACCCGAGTTCGATTCCCGCTCGCAGCCGACAAGGGCGGCGAATATTTGAACCTGGCTTTCCTTTAAGTCCACTCAGCTTTAAATAAGCACCCAGTGCAGTGTGCAAAACACATCAGCACTGGGGAGAGAGAGGCGTGGCACCGACCACGCCACCCGCTCATCGTAGGCGCCACTCGCCAACAGCCCTTGCCCCGACATTCGCCTGAAGGCTACGCGGGGGACCTTTGTCGTTGTGGGGAGGCGAGAAGGCTGTGCGAGTTGAAGGGCTTGTGAGAGATAAGATGCCTCTGTCTGGTGTAAACACAGCTCACAGACAGCAGCGGCGCTGCACTCCCACACAGCTCCCACACACGGCACTCACACCCTGCTATGAAGACGAAGACAAAGATCCCCCGTGTAGCCTTCAGAAGACCGTTGGGGCAAGTGCTGTTTGTAGTGAGCAGCAGTGCCTACGAGGGCCGGAACGGCACACCAAGAGGGTGGTGGGTGGCCAGTACCATGCACAGCCGTATTTGTCTTCCCGGTGGCGATGTTTACACACCGCACCAGTTACTCCACTTGAGGCTGAGTCGACCTAGAGAAGGCCCAGGACCGATTCGAAAGCCGGTCCCCGGGAATCGAACTGGGGTCTCCGGGTTCGTACCGAATCGCGCCAACCGCTGCACCACCGCTCCCCACTACCGCAGAGACACACACACTGGCACACCGGCACGGCACACGTGGGGGGTGGGTGGCCAGCAGCAACGCCCGACCGTCTTTGTCTCGCCAGTGCTACTGGACATCTTTGGAAAAAAGAGCTTTATAGCTCATCGGATTCCTCCAGGATGAATAAATATTCTGATTCTGAGTGCTGATGTTTAATACAGTACACCGCTCCGGGTACAGTACACCGCACCAGGTACAGTACACCGCACCAGACACTCACTTCAGGCTGAGCTTACCTAGCCGAGGATCAACGCCGGCTCAGATATTCGCCGCCGATGTTGCCCGTGAATGGGAATCGAACACAGGCAGGAGGGAGAGGGGGGAGCAGGGAGAGGGGGGGGCACGTTGAAGATGAGCAAGCAGTAGGAGAGGGGGAGAATGGAGAGCATCGCGAGAGAGGGATCAGCGAGAGGAGGGAGCAGGGAGAGGGTTGGGGGGAGCAGGGAGAGGGGGGAAAGGAGATACGTTAGAGGGGCGGCGAGGGGAGAAGGAGAGAAAGGGGCAGAAGGGAAGCAGGGAAAGGGGGGATCAGGGAGATGAGGAGCAGAGAGTGGGGGGAGGAGGGAGATGGGGGAGCAGGGAGAGGAAGGGGAGTAAAGTGTGGGCATAGTAGGAAGGTGGGGGAGCAGGGAGATGGGGGAGCAGAGAGTGGGGGAGCAGGGGGAAGAAGAGCAGAGGGGAGTGGGAGGAGCAGGCAAAAGGGGAGCAGAGAGGGGGGAGCAGGAAGTGGGGGGAGCAGCGAGATGGGGGAGCAGAGAGTTGAGGGAGCAGGAGGAAAGAGAGCAGAGAGGGGGGAGCAGGGATAGTGTTAGGGGTCTCTGGGGTCAAACTACAAAGCCAAGTACTCGGGTAGGGGGGAGTGGGTGGGGGGGGTTCATCACCGCAACTTCCCCACCCAGCCCTCCCTCCCCCCGTGGTTTTATGGACCCTGATCATTGTCAGCAGTGTCTGGTGTGAATCAGCCCCTCCCCTCCACTCCCTCCCCCCCCACCCCTCATCCCCCCCATCAACATGGGCCACAGCAGCAACAGCGTTCCCAGCGACGGTGTAATGACCAGCCAGGCCTTACCCTAGGTACCCCCCTCCCCACCCACCCCACAGTAATTCCCGTACTCACCTCCATCCCCATATCCCAGCCCTATTCACAACATCCCCTTTAGCTACCCTCATAGTACCACTCACAGCTCTTGCAGAGCGCCTTGGATGAAGGCGCTTCGTAAACGTGACACGAGATAATCAAACAAACAAACAAACATAGTTGGGGTTTATTTTTCTTTGCTTGTTTATAAGTGATACGCTGTATATTAATCAATCGGGGGACCCCAAATGAATCGCTCGAGACGCCGGTGTATGGCGGCAGGAAGTGGTCCAAATGCAAACGCCCTGGTCAAGAGGTCACACCGCAACGGTTCCTTCGCTGACCGGGCACGATGAATGAACGAATTAATTATTATTATCACTATGCGTGTGTAATGAATGAATTTTTATCATCACCATACGTGTGAATTAATTATCATCATCACCGTGCGTAATGAATGAATTATTATCATCACCGTGCGTGATGAATTATTTTTTATCATCACCGTGCGTGATGAATGAATTATCATCATCACCGTGCGTGATGAACGAATGATCATCATCACCGTGCATGCGGAATGAATGAATGCATTATTATCATAACCGTGCATGATGAATGAATTGTTATCATCATTACCGTGCGTGATGAATGAATTGTTATCATCATCACCATGCGTGATGAATGAATTGTCATCATCATCACCGTGCGTGATGAATGAATGAATTATTATCATCACCATGTCCCCCCCCCCCCACCCCGACCCCCCCTAAACTCCCCACTCTCTCTCCATCTCTGCTGCCGTGATCCACGGCGTTTCGGGCAATGGGCCTTCTTTAGAGAACACCGACAGAGAGAGGATGCAGTGGAGGGGGCGGCGTGGGTGGACGAGATGGGGGCTGCCCCTGTCTGCACCGTGGTGGGTGAAGAGGGCGGGAGAGGAGGTGCTGATGATAAGAATTACACGCGTTCCCTGATGAACCACTGTTGTAAACAGGCGTTTGAATGCTTCCTGAGGTAGCTGACAAACCCTTAATTCTGCGTTATGATCCACAGCACCAATACCAACGCCACTAGGTGACGGTGACGTCACCACGGCGCCCGTTCGAGGCCACGTGCACTTTGAGGCCGCGTGAAGTGTCGAAGGCTCGCCGACAGGAGGAGGTCTCGGGACAGACCCAGCAGGTGCCATGGGTCGGCCGACTCAGATGAGCGGTAAGATGCACGTTATGATCCCGTACACACACGCACGCACAGAGAGAAATAGCGCCCCCCCCCCCCCCTCCGCCGTGTAGCCTTAACAAACTTTGTTGGGCTAAGTGCCGTTAGCGAGTAGCAGCACCTATGGAGGCCGGCACGGTACACTAAGGGGGCGGGTGGCCAGCACCGCACACGGCCGCTTTCGTCTCCCCAGCGGCGATGTTTTGACACACCGCACCAGGTGCTCATTTGAGGCCGAGTAGAGCTAGGGGAGGCCCAAGACCGCAGGGCGAATTATCACGCCACGTGGGCACGAACGGGATTCGAACTCAGGTGGGCCCCTCTGTCCTACTTGATTAACAGGGGGGGCTTAGGGGGATGTGGAGGGGAGGGGTTAGGGGGATGTGGAGGGGTTAGGAGGTTGTGGAGGGGAGGGGTTAGGGGGGTTGCAGTGGGGCGGGGTTGGGGGGGTGTGAAGGGGAGGGGTTGGGGGGGTGTGAAGGGGAGGGGTTAGGGGGGGTGTGAAGGGGAGGGGTTAGGGGGATGTGGAGGGGTTCGGGGGTTGTAGAGGGGTGGGGTTAGAGGGGTGTGGAAGGGAGGGGTTAGGGGGTTGGGGAGGGGTTCGGGGGTTGTAGAGGGGCGGGGTTAGGGGGGTTGTAGAGGGGCGGGGTTAGGGGGATGTGGAGGGGAGGGGTTAGGGGGGGTGTGGAGGGGAGGGTGATTGACAGTTAGGGGAGTAGTGAGGGGGGGATCAGAGGGAGGGGTTTGGGCAGCCCCTGTTTGTTTAAGACGTCGCCCACTCAGAGATAAACTCCCAATCAGTTGTCGTTGGTGGGGGGTTGAAGTGGGGGGTAGGGGGGATCAAGGATGGAGGGGGCAGTGAACTGTGATGAGTCCCAGCTGTAGCATCTCCCAACCGGCCATGATGATGAACCGAACCCGAAATGCAGTTTGGAGTTGGTTGATTAATCAACTAGCTATGAGAGGCAGCTAGCCACGCCCACTGCTCAGGTTACCCCGCCCACTGTTAAAGCATCCCCGTCCACTGTTAAATCAGCCCCGCCCACACCTCAGGTAGCCCATGCCCATTTGTTAATTAGCCCCGCCCACTGCTCTGGTAGCCCCGCCTACTGCTCTGCTACCCCCGTCCCACTGCTCAGGTAGCACCACACACCGTTCAAGTATCCCCACCCACAGCTCAGATAGCCCTGCCTACTGTTAAAGGTAACTCCGCCTACTGTTAAAGGTAACCCAGCCCACTGTTAAAGTGGCCCAGCCCACTGCTCAGGTAGCCCCGCCCATTGTTAAATAAGCCCCGCCCACTGGTCTGGTTGCCCAGCCCACAGCTCAGATAGCCCCGCCTACTGTTAAATGTAACCTAGCCCACTGTTAAAGTGGCCCAGCCCACTCCTCAGGTACCCCACCAACTGTTCAAGTGAAAACTGCCCACTGCTCAGGCAGCCCAGCCTCCGCCCACATCATGAGTTGAGCACGATGGCAGAACATTTGAAACCGGCGACAAATTCCAGATTGTCCTGGCCAAACCGAGAGTGTGGTGGCCTAAGTTGAATAGTGCAGGTGAGCAGTGCAGGTGAGCTGTGCATGTGAGATGTACAAGTGAGATGCAAAGGTGAGGTGCACAGGTGAGGTACACAGGTGAGCTATACATTAGTTTAACGCCTGTATTATGAGCTATACATGTTGGATGCACAGGTGAGGTGCACAGGTGAGGTGCACAGGTGAGCTGTACCTGAGTAAGCACACACAGGAGCGGGAGCCAGAAGACAGACGGCAGAACCCGAAACTGTGCTTCCCTTCGGCGTCCGTGAGCACAAACGTGAAGTTCTGTCCAATGTGTCCATGTTTCACCCTGGAGACACACACAGAGACACACACACAGAGACACAAGCAAAGACACAGAGAAACAGACACAAAAAGACACAGACACACACACATACAAAACAAAGACACACACATAGGCACATATAAAATGAACAGCCATTACCATCATGAAACATAGATACACACGTACATACAAAGACAAAGACCCCCCCGTACAGCCTTAACAGACTTGCGGAAAGTGCTGTTAGCGAGTACCACCTATGAAGGCCGGCATGATACACGAGGGGGTGGATGGCCAACACAGACACCAGCCGCCTTTTTCTCCCCAGTGCTCATGTTTACACACCACACCAGTTACTCATTTAAGGCTGAGTGGATCTAGGGAGGCCCAGAACCATTTCCGATTTTTATTCATGGACATTGACCGTGAACGGGAATCGAACTTCAGTTTTATTTTGTTGAACCACGTGGGAACTCAGGAGACCACCAGGATGAGTCCCATTTGCAGGAGTCAACGAGTGAGTGAATGAGTTAACGAATGAGTGAATGAGTGAATGAGTTAACGAATGAGTGAGTGAATGAGTTAACGAATGAGTGAGTGAATGAGTGAAGGAGTGAGCGACGATGCTGCGAGTGACCTGGGGTGATGATCGCTGCCCCTGTGACTACAATTCCAGCTGAGTAGCGTGCGGTGGAGCTACGCAACTTGGAAAGATCGGTGATGTGGGTCGATGACGACGGTGATGTTGGTGATGTTGGGATACCGACAGCGTTGTTGGTGATACCTACGGTGATGTTGGTGTTGGGATACCGACGTTGATGTTGGTGATGTTGGGATACCGACAGTGTTGTTGGTGATACCTACGGTGATGTTGGTGATGTTGGGATACCGACAGCGTTGTTGGTGATACCTACGGTGATGTTGGTGTTGGGATACCGACAGTGTTGTTGGTGATACCGACGTTGATGTTGGTGATGTTGGGATACCGACAGTGTTGTTGGTGATACCTACGGTGATGTTGGTGATGTTGGGATACCGACAGTGTTGTTGGTGATACCTACGGTGATGTTGGTGATGTTGGAATACCGAAAGTGATGTTGGTGATACCTACGGTGATGTTGAGATACCGACAGCGATGTTGGTGATACCGACGGTGATGTTGGTGATGTTGGGAGATACCAAAGTTGATGCTGGTGATGTTGGCGATGCTGGTGCTGGTGTTGGCGGAGGGTGTGTTTGAAGGAGCCATCACATGACAGGGTTACAAGCAGGGGTCATGACCCCAGGAAGTCGTTGAGAAGCGATAGGAAATGATATCCTGCGATTTATTTGTCCGGCAGTGGACGGGGAACACGGGGTGACGCTGGGTAACACGGGGAGACGCGGGGAGACGCGGGGAGACGCGGGGAGATGCAGGGTGACACGGGGTGACGCGAGGGGATGCGGAGTAACAAGGGGAGGTACGGGGAGACGTGGGGAGATGAGGGAACACACGGGGAGATGGGGGGAGATGCAGGGAGAGTTCGAGTCCGGGTTGGAAGTGGTGTTAGGTTTCGGGCTATGATTAGTGTTAGGGGTTAGGTTTAGTGGTTAGGATTAGTGCTTAGGGTTAGTGGTGAGCGGTTAGGGTTAGTGGTTAGTGGTGAGCGGTTAGGGTTAGTGGTTAGCGGGGTTATTCGTACCTTTCCACATCAAATGGGAAGCAGAACTTGGCAATCGTTTTCACGACGTCCTGCGTCACACACATCACCACCATCACTGCCATCAGCACCATGACCAACATCATCACAATCACCACTATCACCAACATCATCACCACCACCACCACCACCGTCAGACAAAGACCCACACCCCATCTTGCCTATGCAATACGAATTCGGTATTAAAGCAGCAACAAGAACATAGATCCCACCTCCTGCTCCCACCACCCCGCTCCCCCCTCCCTGATCCCCACCTCCCTGCTCCAACCTCCCAGCTCCCCCCTCCCTGCTCCAACCTCCCAGCTCCCCCTCCCTGCTCCAACCTCCCAGCTCCCCTTCCCCCCCCCCTCCCCACCATCTCCCCTCCCTACTCCCTCAATGTCATTGATCTCTCTCCTACTCCCCACTTCTCTCGCACCCCTTCTCCCCCGCTCTCTCCCTCGCTCTCTCCCCCGCTCTCTCCCCCGCTCTCTCCCCGCTCTCATCCCCGCTCTCTCTCCCGGGCTCGTCCTAATTGAGTCCCAAGAGGCAGAAAGTCTCTCAGCCTCCACTCTCCCTCCTCCTCCTTCTCCTCCTCCCTCTTGCCTCCAGCTCCCTCCCGCTCCTTTCCTCCCAGCAAAACCCAGATCATATCCCTGTCTCTCTCTCTCTCTTGCCTCTCCTCGCTCCTTACTCTCCCCTCCTCTCCTTTACTCCTCCCCCTTTCCTCTCCTTTCCCTCTCTCCTTGCCTCTCCCCTTGCTTACTCTTGCCTTTCCCCTCCTCTCTTGCCCCTCTCCTCCCCTCTCCCCTAACATCCTTTACTCTTCTTCCCTCTCTCTTAATCGCCCCTTGCATTTTCCTTTCCTCTGCCCTTAGACTCATTGTCTCTCCCTTGTTCTCTCCTCGTCTCTCTCTCTCTCTTTCCTCTCCTATCCCGTCCTCTCTCCTTACCTCTCTCTCTCTGCCTCTCCTCTTCCTTGCCTCTCCCCGTCTCTCTCCTCCTTGAGGGAGTTAGCAGCTGGGAGCTGTAATCGTCACCCACCCCCCACGTCACCCCCTCCTCCCCCCTCCCCCCCAAGGCATCTCCTTAATCCACTCTGATACCCGGGCCCCTCCCCCCAACCCCCCGCCAGCCCCCCCCCACCATCACCCCCCCCCCCCCCCCGAGCCAAACTCCCACGGGCCCCAAGGTCTCAAGTTTTTAACAAATCTCAACACCCGGAGGCTAGGGCTACCCCTCCTCCCATGAACCTAGCCTGGCACCGATGGCTAATCGCGGTGGGGGGGGGGGGACTGCGTGTTGTGGGGACTGCTCGGTGAGTTCATAATGGCCGTGTCAGAGACGCTGAGAAAGAGCTTTATAGCTAATCGGATTCCTCCAGTGTAGGTAAATACCATGATTCCGATTCTGGCATTTGCCGAGGTTTCGGGGTTTGAGTCCTGGACTGGCTGTCTCTCAGCCACCTCCGTGTCGAGGTTCACGATCGCCATGCCAGGTTCATAACGGCCAAGCGGGCCGTGGCTATAGATACTGAGATGTGGGGGTTCATAATTGCCATGTCCGGCAGGTTCATAACAACAGCATCCATCATTCGCCACTAATTGGCGGTGACCACACCGCCCGTGCCAGGCCAGGTGCACTTTGAGGCCACGTGAAGTGTCGAAGGCCCGCTGACAGGTCACGGGGACACGCTCAGGTGCCACGGGTTCATACCTCGCACGCTCACACATCAAGTCTTACGCGCACTAGTAAAAGACAAAGATCCCCCATGTAGCCTCTAACAGACTGCCGGGGCAAGTGCTGTTGGCGAGCACCCACGACGGCAGGCACGGCACACGAGAGGGTGGGTGTCCAGCACCACGCCCGGCCGCCTTTGTCTCCCCAGTGCTGATGTTTACACCCGCGCACGTGTAACGCTCGCGCTCGCACACTCGCACACATGCGAACTCACACGCTCACGCTTCTGGCTGAGGCGATCGAGCAGACGCTCAGGACGAGAGTTCAGAAACCAGCCATCACTGTCGTCGGTCGTGAGTGGGAATTGAACTCGGGTCGCCAGGTTCGTAGTGCAGTGCGCTGACCGCTGCGCCACCGCTCCCCCCAAACGGTCGCACATACGCACACACCCACACACCCTTACACAATCGCCCGTACAACGCGCAGATGACACGAACGCCTCTCCGCCTGTCGTCTGGCAGTGCACAAATGATTTAAACGTGTCATTCACGCACACACATACACACACGCTCATGCACACAACATCGTGCAACAAAGACAAAGATACCCCCCCCGCCGCCCGTATAGCCTTTAACAGACTGTTGGGGCAAGTGCTGTTAGCGAGCACCTACGATGGCCGGGCACGGCACTCGAGGAGGTGGGTGGCCAGGACCACGCCTTTGTCACACACTCACTCGCACTCACACAAACCACACACTATGCAAGTATCCGATTCTACAATCTCACACTCACACATTCACACGCTCACTCGGTCACAGACACACATTCATACACTCACTAGCTCACACACACACTCACTCGCACTCGCACAAACCACACACTATGCAAGTATCCAATTCTACAATCTCACACTCACACATACACACTCGCACTCACACAAATCACACACTATGCAAGTATCCAATTCTACAATCTTCCACTCACACATTCACAGCTTACTCGGTTACACACACATTCACACACTCACTAGCTCACACACTCACACATACACACTCGCACTCACACAAACCACACACTATTCAAGTATCCGATTCTACAATCTCACACTCACACATTCACACGCTCACTCGGTCACAGACACACATTCACACACTCACTAGCTCACACACTCGCACATACACACTCGCACTCACACAAACCACACACTATTCAAGTATCTGATTCTACAATCTCACACTCACACATTCACACGCTCACTCGGTCACAGACACACATTCACACACTCACTAGCTCACACACTCACACATACACACTCACACAAACCACACACTATTCAAGTATCCGATTCTACAATCTCACACTCACACATTCACACGCTCACTCGGTCACAGACACACATTCACACACTCACTAGCTCACACACTCACACATACACACTCACACAAACCACACACTATTCAAGTATCCGATTCTACAATCTCACACTCACACATTCACACGCTCACTCGGTCACAGACACACATTCACACACTCACTAGCTCACACACTCACACATACACACTCACACAAACCACACACTATTCAAGTATCCGATTCTACAATCTTACACTCACACATTCACACGCTCACTCGGTCACAGACACACATTCACACACTCACACACTCACTAGCTCACACACTCACACACACATTCGCACACTCACTAGCTCACAGACACACATTTACACACCCGCTCACGCACTCGCACACACATTCGCACACCCATGCACTCGCTCAATCTCACGCTCACTCGCACCACCCCTGATCTGTCACTTCTCTCCGTCTTCTCAACAAAAGCCACGAGACGCCAGTGGGGGGTCCGTGACCCCCCCCAAACCCCCCACCTCCCCCCCCAACCCCCCACCCGCTCCACCACCTACCCAACCCCAACAGCAGCAACTCCGAACCCTTCCAGGGTCCCCTCGGAGCACAGACGTGGAGCGGTAGCGCTGATCCCCCTTGGGGCTCAGAGAGGGCTACCCCCAGTTAAAGCCTTGATCCAAATCCCCTGCCCCCCCTTCCCCCACCCCTCCCCAAACTCCCTCCCCCCCGTTGAACCCCCACCAGCCACAACTCCCGCATATCCACCGCAGTCTCTCCCCGCCACCCCCCTCCACCCACCCCCAAAATCAAAGACAATAACAAAGATGCCCTGTGTAGTCTACACAAGCTGTTCTGGTGGGGCAAGTGCTATTGGCAGGCCGAGTGGACCTGATATTTGTCTCCGGTGTTGGCCGTGAGCGGGTTTGCAGCGCAGTGTTCATGTACAAAGATCCCAGAGCCTGCAGCAGACTGTTGGGGCAAGTGCTGTGAGCGAACACCTATGAAGGCCGGCGCCACGCCATGCAGTGGCGTGGCGGTGGCAGTGGTGTTATAGTGGTTTGGTGGTGGTGGTGGCAGTTTGGTGGTGACGGTGGTGTTATAGTGGTTTGGTGGTGGTGGTGGCGGTGGCGGGGTGGCTGTGGTGGTGTTATAGTGGTTTCGTGGTAGTGGTGACGGTGGTGCTGTGGTGGTGGTGGTTTGGTGGTGGTGGTAGCATGATGGTGGCAATGGTGTTGTGATGGAGGCATGGGTGTGGTGGTGGCGGTAGCGTCGGGTCTCCTGGGAGGAAGTTGAACCCTAACCCCCGTGCTTGCCTGCTGCTGCTGCGGGTGCTCCACGCACATTAATTGGTGACACGCTCGCTGGATAAATAGCCCGCTAGCCCCCACCCCCCGATCCCCCAACCTTACGCCAAGAACCGCACCCACCCCAAAAGATTATAATTGTGTAGTCCACTCAGTAATGTGATTTACCCAGCGTGGTAGCCTCGCCGAGTCTCAAGACACAATTTGCACGGGAGGGTCCTGCCACAGTGGGATACTTTGCCGGTCCCGTTTGAAACAAAAAGGAGATCAATGTTCGGATTGTGACAACGATGACGATCACGATGACGATGACGATCACGATGACGATCACGATGACGATGGTGGGGCGGTGGTGGTCGTTACGATTAGGACGCCAATTATTTTTACAAGGCCTTGTCGAGTCTCCAGACTCGTTTTCAATAAGGCTCTGGCTGGCAAAACAGGATCTCTTTTTAAACCTAATCTAAATTTATATTTATATCGGAGCACTTTCACTCAAGGCGCTTAACGAGGCTTACACAACAGTGACAAAATGGAACGATGATGATGATGGCGGTTGTGATGATGACGATGATGATGTAATCAATTTACACGAGAAATCCAATTCCCGTTTAAATAATGAGCAAGTGCTGATGATGATGATGACTACCCTCTCTTTAGCCAGGCAAGCCTAAGCTAAATCTTAACACTGTTGTTAATTCAGGAATATCCTCCTGCCATATCCATGTTAAAATAAACAAGCAGTCTTTTGATGATGACAATGATGACGATGATGGTGCTCGTGGAAAATACAGGCGGCGATGATAAATTGAGGATGCTGATGTCGCCAATTAGTCACCTGGGGTAGGCCTCACCGAGTCTCAGGATGCTACTGTGCAGGAGGGTGCTGCTACACTCCGATGCTTGGGCGGTGAACCGCATTACTCGTCAGGAGTTTGGCTTTGTGCGGACGTGAAAAGTGGCCAGCTAATTTATTAATTATTAAATAATTAATTGATTGACAGATTTCCGCGGCCGCTGGCTAGGTTTAAATTGTGGGGGGGCGGCTGTGGCTGGAGGGGGGGGGGAAGAGGGTGACGCGGGGGAGAGGGAACGCAAAGCGCTGACAAAGAGCGCTAAGGTGGCTAGGAGATGTTAACTACCTCGCCTGGTATACAGGATGTCGTGGGTTCGATCCCAACCCTGACGCCTGCTGCTGTATATTTGGAGTTTGCGTGTCTCTCTCATCATCATTACGGTGGCGAGGAGATGTTAACTACCTCGCCTGGTATACAGGAGGTCGTGGGTTTGATGCCGACCTTGACGCCTGCTGTCTATTTGGAGTTTGAGTGTCTTTCTCTCTCCCCGTGGTCGCGTGGATTTTTCCTCCGGGTCCTCCGGTTTTTCCCTTTCACATTTAGAATCCACATCACGCGTTTAGAGGATTTGGCTGCTGCTATAAATTTCCACTCAATAAGCCACTTCGTTGTGGCCAGGTCGCTTTTGAAAAAGAGCTACGTAGCTCAGTGGTCCTTACCTAGTAAGACTCACGCAGAGATCCATAGACTCAAACAGAGGCCCACATACTCATACAGAGACCCATTGACTCACGCAGAGACCCACAGACTCACGCAGAGACCCAAAGACTCACACAGAGACCCACATACTCACATAGATACCCACAGACTCACACAGAGACCCACATACTCACACAGAGACCCACAGCCTCACGCAGACCCACAAACTCACACAGAGATCCACAAAATCACACAGAGACCCACAGACTCACACAGACCCACAGACTCACACTCATACAGAGACCCATTGACTCACACAGAGACCCACACACTCACACAGAGACCCACAAGGACCTAATAATGACTTCCAGGAGATACAGTCGTATTTAGAACATATATCAATCCACGTTGTATTGTAGGATGATGATTATGAAGAACTGGCGATGTTCATGACGATGGATGAGCGATGATGTTGATATTGTTGACGATGTCTCACCTGGTCGGGGTAATCTTGTGGATATGTCCGAATCACCTCTGGGTCTGCACAGACAAAGAACCAAAGACAAAAGACACACAACACGTACAGCAATGACACGCACACATACAGACACCACGATTAGTGCTGCTGCACACAGCAAAGGCTGGGCTGAAGGTTGAACACTGCTGTTATCCCTCCGAAGCACCCACACAGGTACAATTACACGTCCACGCGTGTACACAGACAAAGCTCCCCCATAAAGTCCCACAGGCTGTTTGGGGGAGTGGCACCCATAAAGGCCGACACGGCACGCGAGAGGGTGGGGTGGCCAACACCACGCCAGACCGCCTTCGTCTCCCCCGGCGGTGATGTTTACACGCCGCACCAGGTACTCATTTGAAGGTCGTGCCCACCTTGGGGGATGCCTCGGGCGTCAGACATTCGCCCGTCATTGTTCCTGGTCGTGAGTCGGATTCCAATTCAGGTGGCCGGGTTCGCAGCTCAGTGCGCTAACCAGGCCGGCACGGCACACGAGGGGGTGGGTGGCCGGCACCACTCCCGCTCGCCCTTTGCCTACCCCAGTGGCAATGTTTACGCACCGCACCGGGTACTCATTTGAGGCCGAGTCGACCTAGGGGAGGCCCAGGACCGGTTCAGATAACCGTCACCGGTGTTGATCGCCGTGAGCGGGAAACGAACTCGGGTCGCCAGGTTCGTAGCGCAGTGCGCTAACCACTGCACCACCGCTCTCCACACTGTACACACCCCACACGTACCCACACCTACCTTAGCCCCTCCCCCCCGTCCCCCCCAAAATCCCCCCTTCAGCCCCGCCCCCCAGCACGAGACGGTGCTGCGAGTCACGTGACACGTCTATTTTTAGCCTCATTTGGGCTCCCACTGAACCCCCCGCCCCTCAGCCCCTCCCCGGAACCCCCACGGCGACACAGCTATCCTAACGAGAGGTGTGCCTGCGTCTGTGTGCAACGTGCAGGTCGACTCGGCCGTAAATAAGTACCCGGCACTGCGGGACACAAAGGCGGCCGGGCATGGGGGAGCTGGCAACCTCCCTCGTGCCGAGCCTTCACAGGTGCTCGCGAACAGCACTTGCCCCAAACGGTCTGCAAAATGCTCTACGGGGGATCTTTGTCTTTGTTACACAATAAGCTACCTGGCCCTGTCGCTCCACATGAAGCTCTGGGCCTTCTCGGCCACAGTCATGCCCTCCCTTCTCCTCAAAAGGAACATCTGCGCCGGTCAGAAACATGCAGGCTGGGCCTGCCAATACGATCCATCCTGGGTATAACAGGCTGGGTTGTGTGAGAAGCTCACAGCCCCTTGAAAGATCTGCACACAGTCCCAAATCAGTGAGCTCCTCCGGCAGGCGAGGCTGCATTGGCTGGGTCACGTAGCCCGCATGCCCAGCCACCGCGTGCTGCCCAACCAGCTTCTGTTTGGCCGGATAGAGGGGACGAAACGGGGCAGCACGGGCAGGAGAAGAGATGGACGGGGGGAGTGGATCAGTGGGTGGATGAGTGGGTGGGTGGGTAGATGGGTGGATGGTTAGGTGGGTGGATAGGTGGGTGGGTGAGTGGGCGAGTGGGTGGATGAGTGGATGGGTGGGGGGATGGGTGGGGGGATAAGTGGGTGGGTGAGTAGATGGAAGAGTAGGCGAGTGGCACGAGCTAGAGAGGAAGTGGGCTATTGTGGTACAGAAAGTTCAATGAGTTGATGGTCTCAACCTCGTCACCAATGCCTTGATGCAAACACCCACCGACTCTCAACGAGACCCGCATACTCACATAAAATACATGGACGAACATACAGACTCACAGTCACACGGACACCTACAGACTCTCACATAGGCTCACATAGAGACCCACCGACTCACATTGAGACCCATTGACTCGCATAGAATCCATAGACTAATACAGGACCCACAGATTCACACAGAGTATCGTAGACTAACATAGAGACCCATAGACCCACACAGAGTATTACAGACTCACATAGCGACCCACAGATTAACAGAAACCCAGGCTCACACAAAGACCCACAGACTCACACAGAGACCCAGACTCACATAGAGACCCACACACAGACTCACACAGAGACCCAGACTTACATAGAGATCCACAGACTCACACAGAAACCCAGACTCACACAGAGACCTAGACTCACATAGAGACCCACAGACTCACACAGACACCCATAGACCCACACAGAGACCCATAGACTCACACAGAGACCCACAGACTCACACAGAGACCCAAACTCACATAGAAACCCACAGACTCACACAGACACCCACAGACCCACACAGAGACCCACAAACTCACACAGAGACCCACAGACTCACATAGAGACCCACAGACTCACACAGAGACCCAAACTCACATAGAAACCCACAGACTCACACAGACACCCATAGACCCACACAGAGACCCACAGACTCACACAGAGACCCACAGACTCACACAGATACCCACAGACTCACATAGAGACCCACAGACTCACACAGACCGAAGAAGACCAAGGGTATAACACAGATACTCCTGCTCCCCACTGCTCTCCCTCCTGCTCCCACCCCCTGCTCCCTCACCGAGTTAAAGCCGAAAATGAGATTATAGAGCCATGGCGCCTGACGAGGAGTGAGGGGGGGGGTGTGGGGGGGGGAGCAACCCCCCCCCCACTCCTCCCCTCCCCCCCCCCTCTGTGTTGTCGGGTGCAGAGCGAATTTCTTAGCCAATTACCTCTGTGAACACTTCACTCAGAGGATGGCAGCAGACGCACACACGTATAGACACACGTACACACACGTATATAGACACACGTACACACACGTATATAAACACACGTACACACACGTGTATAGACACACGTACACACACGTATATAGACACACGTACACGCACGTATATAGACACAAGACAAGATCCCCGGATAGCCTTAACATACTTTTGGGGCAAGTGCTTTTAGCGAAATCCTACGAAGGCCAGCACGGCACACCAGGGGGGGGGGGTGGCCAGCAACCACGCCCGGCCGCCTTTGTCTCCCCAGTGGAGATGTTTACACACCGCACCAGGTATTCATTTGAGGCTGAGTCGACCTAGGGGAGGCCCAGGACCGGTTCAGATAATCGTCACTGGTGATGGCCGCGAGCGGGAATCGAACTCGGGTCGCCGGGTTCGTAGCGCAGCGTAGCGCTAACCACTACCCTAGAGAGACACACACACACACGTATAGACACACGTACATCGATAGACAGGCACACGTACATAGACACATGCATGTACAGACACACACACATATAAACACACGGGTGTACAGATACAGACACGTATGCACAATCTTAAATTAACCTCTTTTCCACTGTACAAGTACATGCATGTAAATAAAAAAAACGCGTGCGTGTGCGTGTATAAGCGACTGTGAATGGATATGACAGGCCAAGAGACGAGGTGACTGTGTGCGCGTGTGTGTGTGTATGTGTGCTCATGTGTGTGTGCATATGTGTGTGTATGTATAGTGGAGAGTGGTAGTGCAGTGGTTAGCGCTACGCTGCGCTGCAAACCTGGAAACCCGAGTTCGATTCCCACTCACGGCCAACATCAGTGAGGTTCATCTAAACCGGTCCTGGGCCTCCCCTAGGTCGACTTAGCCTCAAATGAGTACCTGGTGTGGTGTGTGAACATCGCCACTGGGGAGACAAAGGCGGCCGGGCGTGGTCTTCATAGGTGCTAGCTGACAGCACTTGCCCAAACAGTCTGTTAAGGCTCTACGGGGGATCTTTTCGTATGTACTCGTGTGTGTGTGTGTGCACATATTTACATGGGGGAACGCCAGCGCTGTGCTTGGCGCACTGCGCTACAAACTCCGGCAACCCGAGTTCAATTCCCGCTCACGGCCAACATTGGCGACGAATATCTGCACCACTCCCCCGCACATCACGTAGGTCGACTCGGCCTCAAATCAGCACCTGCTGCGGTGTGCAATAAGCATCAGTGCAGTACGGGGAAGACAAAAACGGACGGGTGAGGGAGCTGTGTGACGTGCCGACCTTCATCGCACTTTGCTTCACTAACGGCACTTGCCCCGACGGCCTGTGTAGGCTACACGGGGGGACCTGTGTCTCTGTACGTGTGATGTGTACGTGTGATGTGTACGTGTGCGTGTGTGTGCGCGCGCGCGCGAGTGTTGTGGGGAACAGAAGTGTAGCAGCTTAGCGCTGCGCTGTGCTACGAACCCTGCACCGGTCCTGGGCCTCCCCTAGGTCGACTCAGCCTCGAATGAGTACCTGGTGCTGTGTGTAAACATCGTCACTCGGGAGACAAAGGCGGCCAGGCATGGCGCTCGCCACCACTTCCCCCTCGCGTGCCGTGCCGGCCTTCATAGACAGGCGCTGCTCACGAACAGCACTTGCCCCAACAGTCTGTGAAGGCTATCGGGGGGGTATCTTTGCATTTGCCTTTGTTGTGTGCGAGTGTGAAGTGGCTATGATGACGGGCCAGGAGATGTGTTTATTGTGTGTGTAACCCCATTGGAGCATCGTGCTGGGTGCAATTTAACGCCTCTTTGTGGAGCGGGCTAAGTGAGAATTGGAATGTGCGGGTGCATGTACCATTCGGGAGAGAGCGGGGGGAGAGAGCGCGGGAGTGAGAGAGAGCCCGGGAGAGAGAGAGATAAGGGATGAGGAGGAACAACGATGGAGAGACAGACGAACGCAGCTCAAGACTCCAAGAGACAAGCAGACAAAGATCCCCCGTATAGCCCGAACAGACTGTCGGGGCAAGTGCTGTTAGCGAGCAAGCAATGAAGGCCCGCACGGCACACGAGAGGGGGTGGATGGCCAGCAACCACGCCAGACCGCCTTTGTCTCCCCAGTGGCGATGTTTACATGCCGCGCCGGGTACTCATTTGAGGCTGAGTCGACCTTGGGGAGGCCCGTGACCGGTTCAGATAATCGTCACTGGTGTTGGCCGTGAGCGGGAATCGAACCCGTGTCGCTGGGTTCATAGCGCAGCGCGCTAACCGCTCCACTATCGCGCACATATATACACAT